TTCCCTCATCAATTCTATGATTCACCTCATTTTTCATAGACCCATCCGCTGACACGTCCACTCCCAAATATCTGAATACGTTCACCTCCTCCATACTCTCTCCCTCCAATCTGATATCCAATCTTTCATCACCTAATCTTTTTGTTATCCTCATAACCTTACTCTTTCCTGTATTCACCTTTAATTTTCTTCTTTTGCACACCCTACCAAATTCATCCACCAATCTCTGCAACTTCTCTTCAGAATCTCCCAAGAGCACAGTGTCATCAGCAAAGAGCAGCTGTGACAACTCCCACTTTGTGTGTGATTCTTTATCTTTTAACTCCACGCCTCTTGCCAAGACCCTCACATTTACTTCTCTTACAACCCCATCTATAAATATATTAAACAACCACGGTGACATCACACATCCTTGTCTAAGGCCTACTTTTACTGGGAAAAAATTTCCCTCTTTCCTACATACTCTAACTTGAGCCTCATTATCCTCGTAAAATCTCTTCACTGCTTTCAGTAACCTACCTCCTACACCATACACTTGCAACATCTGCCACATTGCCCCCCTATCCACCCTGTCATACGCCTTTTCCAAATCCATAAATGCCACAAAGACCTCTTTAGCCTTATCCAAATACTGTTCACTTACATGTTTCACTGTAAACACCTGGTCCACACACCCCCTACCTTTCCTAAAGCCTCCTTGTTCATCTGCTATCCTATTCTCCGTCTTACTCTTAATTCTTTCAATTATAACTCTACCATACACTTTACCAGGTATACTCAACAGACTTCTTCTTTCTTTCTTTCAACACACCAGCCGTATCCCACCGAGGCGGGGTGGCCCAAAAGGAAAAACAAAAGTTTCTCCTTTCACATTTAGTAATATATACAGGAGAAGGGGTTACTAGCCCCTTGCTCCTGGCATTTTAGTCGCCTCTTACAACACGCATAGCTTACGGAGGAAGAATTCTGTTCCACTTCCCCATGGAGATAAGAGGAAATAAACAAGAACAAGAGCTAGTAAGAAAATAGAAGAAAACCCAGAGGGGTGTGTATACATATGCTTGTACATGTATGTGTAGTGTGACCTAAGTGTAAGTAGAAGTAGCAAGACGTACCTGAAATCTTGCATGTTCATGAGACAGAAAAAAGGACACCAGCAATCCTACCATCATGTAAAACAATTACAGGCTTTCGTTTTACACTCACTTGGCAGGACGGTAGTACCTCCCTGGGCGGTTGCTGTCTACCAACCTACTACCTATAACTCAACAGACTTATCCCCCTATAATTTTTGCACTCTCTTTTATCCCCTTTGCCTTTATACAAAGGAACTATGCATGCTCTCTGCCAATCTCTAGGTACCTTACCCTCTTCCATACATTTATTAAATAATTGCACCAACCACTCCAAAACTATATCCCCACTTGCTTTTAACATTTCTATCTTTATCCCATCAATCCTGGCTGCCTTACCCCCTTTCATTTTACCTACTGCCTCACGAACTTCCCCCACACTCACAACTGGCTCTTCCTCACTCCTACAAGATGTTATTCCTCCTTGCCCTATACACGAAATCACAGCTTCCCTATCTTCATCAATATTTAACAATTCCTCAAAATATTCCCTCCATCTTCCCAATACCTCTAACTCTCCATTTAATAACTCTCCTCTCCTATTTTTAACTGACAAATCCATTTGTTCTCTAGGCTTCCTTAACTTGTTAATCTCACTCCAAAACTTTTTCTTATTTTCAACAAAATTTGTTGATAACATTTCACCCGCTCTCTCATTTGCTCTCTTTTTACATTGCTTCACCACTCTCTTAACCTCTCTCTTTTTCTCCATATACTCTTCCCTCCTTGCATCACTTCTACTTTGTAAAAACTTCTCATATGCTAACTTTTTCTCCCTTACTACTCTCTTTACATCATCATTCCACCAATCGCTCCTCTTCCCTCCTGCACCCACTTTCCTGTAACCACAAACTTCTGCTGAACACTCTAACACTACATTTTTAAACCTACCCCATACCTCTCTGACCCCATTGCCTATGCTCTCATTAGCCCATCTATCCTCCAATAGCTGTTTATATCTTACCCTAACTGCCTCCTCTTTTAGTTTATAAACCTTCACCTCTCTCTTCCCTGATGCTTCTATTCTCCTTGTATCCCATCTACCTTTTTCTCTCAGTGTAGCTACAACTAGAAAATGATCTGATATATCTGTGGCCCCTCTATAAACATGTACATCCTGAAGTCTACTCAACAGTCTTTTATCTACCAATACATAATCCAACAAACTACTGTCATTTCGCCCTACATCATATCTTGTATACTTATTTATCCTCTTTTTCTTAAAATATGTATTACCTATAACTAAACCCCTTTCTATACAAAGTTCAATCAAAGGGCTCCCATTATCATTTACACCTGGAACCCCAAACTTACCTACCACACCCTCTCTAAAAGTTTCTCCTACTTTAGCATTCAGGTCCCCTACCACAATTACTCTCTCACTTGGTTCAAAGGCTCCTATACATTCACTTAACATCTCCCAAAATCTCTCTTCTCTCCTCTGCATTCCTCTCTTCTCCAGGTGCATACACGCTTATTATGACCCACTTCTCGCATCCAACCTTTACTTTAATCCACATAATTCTTGAATTTACACATTCATATTCTCTTTTCTCCTTCCATAACTGATCATTTAACATTACTGCTACCCCTTCCTTTGCTCTAACTCTCTCAGATACTCCAGATTTAATCCCATTTATTTCCCCCCACTGAAACTCTCCTACCCCCTTCAGCTTTGTTTCGCTTAGGGCCAGGACATCCAACTTGTTTTCATTCATAACATCAGCAATCATGTGTTTCTTGTCATCCGCACTACATCCACGCACATTTAAGCATCCCAGTTTTATAAAGTTTTTCTTCTTCTCTTTTTTAGTAAATGTCTACAGGAGAAGGGGTTACTAGCCCATTGCTCCCGGCATTTTAGTCGCCTCATACGACACACATGGCTTATGGAGGAAAGATTCTTTTCCACTTCCCCATGGACAATAGAAGAAATAAAGAAGAACAAGAGCTATTTAGAAAAAGGAGAAAAACCTAGATGTATGTATATATATATGCATGTGCGTGTCTGTGAAGTGTGGCCAAAGTGTAAGTAGGAGTAGCAAGATATCCCTGTTATCTAGCGTATTTATGAGACAGAAAAAGAAACCAGCAATCCTACCATCATGCAAAACAGTTACAGGTTTTTGTTTCACAGTCATCTGGCAGGACGGTAGTACTTCCCTGGGTGGTTGCTGTCTACCAACCTACTACCTAATGTGGTTCCTATATTCAAATCAGGGGATAAGTCCACTCCTTCAATTTACCGTCCAATAAGCCTGACATCTATAGTGGGCAAGTTATTAGAATCAATTATAGCTGACATTATCAGAAGTCACCTTGAAGAGCATAACTTGATAAATGAATCTCAGCATGGATTCACAAGAGGTCGTTCCTGCCTGACAAACTTGCTGACGTTCTTCAATAGAACATTTGAGGCAGTTGACAGTGATAAGGAATATATTATTGTTTATTTGGATTTTAGTAAAGCCTTCGATAGAGTACCTCACAAGAGAGACTTAAGAAAAGTGGCAGCTCATGGTATAGGAGGTAAAGTTCTAGCATGGATAGAGGCATGGCTTACCAATAGAAAGCAGAGAGTTACCATTAATGGAGTGAAATCTGAGTGGGAATTAGTCACTAGTGGCATTCCACAGGGATCAGTTTTGGGCCCTCTCTTGTTCATAATTTACATTAATGACCTTGATGAAGGGATTACGAGTGACATGAGTAAGTTTGCTGATGATACAAAGATAGGCCGTATAATTCACTCTGAGGAGGATATCAATGAACTCCAGGACGATTTGGACAAATTAGTGTCTTGGTCTGAAAAATGGCAGATGAAGTTCAATGTGGATAAGTGTAAGGTACTTGCCCTTGGTAATGAAAATAACTCTCGAAGCTATAATCTAGGTGAAGTAGAGCTTGATCATACAGAATGTGAAAAAGACTTGGGAGTCATGGTAAGCAGAAATCTAAAGCCAAGACAGCAGTGCCTTAGTGTGCGCAACAAGGCCAACAGATTACTTGGATTTATCTCAAGAAGTATTAATAACGGAAGTCTAAAAGTTATTTTACAGCTCTATACATCACTAGTGAGGCCTCATTTAGATTATGCTGCTCAGTTTTGGTCCCCTTACTACAGGATGGATATAGACTCATTAGAGAACATACAGAGAAGAATGACTAAAATGATGTACTGTGTAAGGAACCTCCCGTATGAAGATAGACTTAAAGCCTTAAATCTCCACTCTCTGGAGAGGCATAGAATGAGGGGAGATATCATTGAAGTGTATAAGTGGATGACGGGCATAAACAAGGGAGATATTAATAAAGTACTGAGGGTGTCGAACCAGGTAAGAACCAGAAATAATGGATTTAAGTTGGATAAATTTAGATTTAGAAAGGACATAGGTAAGTACTGGTTTTCTAACAGAGTTGTAGATGCATGGAACAGTCTTCCCAGTGGGGTGGTAGAGGCTAGAACCTTGGGTAGCTTTAAGAAGAGACTGGACAAATATATGGGTGGGAGGGGCTGGGTGTGATTGGTGTCATTGGGTACGGGAGTTATTTCTTGGGTAGCTTTGTGTAGAGGTCGTTTTGATAAGGACCTGCCTCACATGGGCCAGTAGGCCTTCTGCAGTGTTCCTCCATTCTTATGTTCTTATGTAATTCTGTAAGTTTTCGATCAAATTTCGTACGTTTGGTGTCACTACCATTGGGAAAAGACTCTTATCATTTCATAAGATTTTGTTTTTTTTCGACACCAGGAGACACTTCAGGATTTGGGGTTGCGACAGTCAAAGGGTTTAGTATTCTAAATGTTTTATATAATTAACTGCTGCATCTCATGGTGTGAAACATTAATATTATTTTAATTTTTTTTAGTCTTTGGGTTGGTGTGGTGGGGAAGAAGGATCTGTGTCAAATAACAACAACAATAATAACAACAACAACAGCACAAACAATAACAGCAGCAGTGCCAGTGGCAGCACACACAGCAACAGCAGCAGCAGCAGCAGTAGGGGTCATAAGCGTCTGAGAAGAAATGCAGCATCGTCTGGATCTATTACCACAACCTCCCTTTGTGATGCTCATTCTGTAGACATTGTATATTCCAAAAGTGCCAAAGGTTTGTTAACTGTTAATTCTGTTTATCAAAAAACATCAGTCCCAATATCAAAATTTATTGACATTTTCTACTTTTTTTTTTCTATATCACAAGAAATTTAGACCCTTGGCCCTTCTCTTGCTATAGTCATATATCATATAGCACATGTGGAAATTATGGCAAAACCACTGTGGTCCACTAAGGTTATATACTGTATACCTTTCACTTACCTCATTCCTCATAGATAGATCTTTCTTGAAAATACAATATTAGAGGGTAATGCATAACTTATTTTGAACCATCAGTTTTATTTCTCATTCATTGTCCGTTAACTATTCCCACAAGTATTATTACCATTGTAGTAATTCTTTACAACACTCAGTAAGTATGCACCATTTTTTTTAATACTGGTCATCTCTCACCAGGGTACAGTGACCCAAAAAAGAAACACTATCACTCCATCACCATCTTGTCAGAGGTGTGCTGACAATATAGCTCAGATGCCCCTCCAGACTGTAGTATCCCTATCCTTCCTAGAGAGTACAGTTACCTCCATGACTCAAGTCTGGCTTACCAGTTTCCCTGGAACCCTTCATAAATGTTACTGTGCTTATACTCCAACCGCATGCCAAGTCATAGAAATCACATGCCATCACCCACTCCTATGCCTGATGGATACAAAACCTCTTTTACTCCCTTCTTTCAACCTTTCCTAGAAGGACCCCTATCCCACCTTCCCTCCACTACAGATACATACATTGTCTGAGTCATCATATTTTACTCCACCCTCTCTAAATGTCCAAACTACCTCAATAAACCCTCCTCAGCCCTCTGGGTAATACTCTCAGTATCCTACAAATTCTTTGCATGATGATCACACCACACATTACCCCCAGACACACCATCTGCATTGCCTCCAGCCTTTTCCTTGCTGCATCATTTAAAACCCATGCTGCATACCCATATAAGAGTGTTGGTTCCACTATACTCTGACACATTCCCCATTTTGCCTCCATGGATAGCGTTCTTTGTCTCTAAAGTTGCCTCAATGCACCACCCACCTTATTCCCCCCTCATCAATTCAGTGCTTCACCTCGTCTTACATAGACCTGTCTGCCAATAAGCCTACTCCCGAATATCTGAATACTGTACATTCACTTCCTCTGTATTCCCTCCTTCCAATCTGATATCCAGTCTTTCATCACCTAAATTTTTTTTTATTCTCATCATCTTGTTCTTAGGTTTACTGTTAATTTCCTTCTTTTACATACTCTCCCAGACTTGTCCACCAACTTTTGTAACATCTCTTCAGAATTTCCCCAGAGCACTGTCATCGGCAGGAAGCAACTGCGACAGCTCCCACTTTGTATTAGATTCTTTATCTTTTAATCCCACACCTCCCCCCAACATTCACTTCGTTGAGATCTCTTTCTTCAAAAATGTTAAGCAATCATTGTGATATCACACATTCCTGTCTGAGGCTTACTTTTACTGGAAAATAATTTTTCTCTCTACTGCATACCTGAGCCTTGCTACCCTCGTGAAAACTCTTAACTGCTTTAAATAACCTTCTACCTACTTATTCCATACACTTGCAGCATCTGCCACTTTGCTTCCCTATCCATCCTATCATATGCCATTTCTAAATCCATAAATGCAGTAAAAACCTCTTTACCTAAATATTGTTCACTGGTATGCTTCAATGTAAACACTTGGTCTACCATCCCCTGTCCTCCACTTTTTTATGCCCCTTTGAAATTATTACTCAAGTTAAAACTTTTAGCAGACTTCCATTTTCATACTTGTGTGACAAGATTGTAGTACCTGCCTGAAGAGTTTCTCTACCAATTTGTTATAGTACATTTCCTATAAAAGCTTCAAATAGGACCTAGACCAATTAGTCTTAATTGAGAGGTTCTCTTTATATTTAATTTTAGCGAATACAGAAGTAATCATTATCTCCTTTGCCATTTTCTTGGGCTGGTGGGGGGGGGGGGGCACCCTTGCAGAGTAGACTGAAGACATCATAGTTTTTTTTTTTTTAAACATTATTATACTCACTACTACCACAGAATTAGTGCACTGTTCTCAAGCATGGTGTGCCTATATTAGATGATTATTTAACATAATTCATTTATGTTGATAATGCTTTTTCTTTAGTTCCTTCAAGGGACATATCTTAGTGCTAGAGATAGGCTCTTATCATTTAAGAACTAGAGCTAACTCTTCCTTCTTTGGATTAAACTTGATTATCTCCCATTCCCTAAGCACTATAAAAGATTTACAGGTTCATAACTTACCCATGAATGTAATTAAATATAAATATTTAAGCAAGCCAGAGACAAAACTTGAAATATAAGATTTAATGTATATTTATTGTACATGCCTATATAACTTACTGTTAAGAGATACTTGTGCTGCAGGAGAGAAGGCAAGTAGCGTTCACTATCGCGCTGGGATGCACCATGGGAGTACCTCACTGGGGTTAGAGAGTGGGTCTGGAGTAGCTGCTGCATCCTCTACTGCACCATCTCCCACCTCATTGCCTTCTGCTGCTGAGCCACCCTCACACCCAGTCAGCTTGGAGGTAATGTATTCAAAAAATATATCTGGAAGAAAAATGAATCCGTAGACACCCACAGAGTAATGTATTAGAGTGTAGTGATGCCAACACTTGTTTGGGTAGGAAGTTATGATCTTTGAATGGTGCAATGAAGAGGAGGCTGGAGGTAGGGGAGATGTTTGGGCAGGATCAGTGAGTGATGTGAATATCATGCTTAGACTAACAAGTGAAGAAATTAGGTTGTGGTTGTATGAAAGGTATGATTCAGTGTAGAAAAGTTGGAGGTTTATAAATTCAGAGTTGGTGGAAGGATATGTAGGGGGACATGTGCATCTCAGAAAGAGTTGAAAGGAATGTGCAAAAGTTTTGAGAGGTAGAGGCTTGAGTATCCAGCAGGCATGGGTGAGAGTGTTCAATTAGAGTGAATGGAGACAAGTACATTTGTTTGATAGAGACTGATGAAGAACTGTAGAATTAAAAGATTTTAACCCTTTGAGGGTCCAAGCTGTAGTTCTCCGTCATGAGCTCAGGTCACTCAGATAAGCTGTGAGCAGTAAATTTGGGCCTAGATATGAGAGAATGCATCTATGTGGTAAGTGTGCACCATATAAAACGAATCCTGCAGCATGCAGTGCATAGTGAGGAAAAAATATAACCGTGTTTTTGGATTAAAACATCTAATTTGCAGTGTATTTTCATATGTTTTTACAGTTGTATTCACGGTTTCTTGGTGTCATTTGATAGAATGGAAGATATATTACAGAAATAGAGATGATTTTGATTGGTTTTAGTATGGAAAATAGCTTGAAATTGAGTTTAAAATAGCGGAAATGTTCAATTTTTGCTGATGTTCAAGAGTAAACGAATGACATCACGCATCCAATATATGTCAACTGGTGGGTCTAATATATGATCACGAATGCACTTATATTATTTATACAATTATTACAAGATTGCATAACAGTAAATCCTCTAGTTTTTGGTGTAAATAAAAATTGTTTATGTAAATCAAAAATCAAAATGGAATTCATCTATAAAGACTGGAAATGTAGCTAATAAACAGAGGAAATGTTATTTTAGTGCCAGGAATGCCTGCATTGTTTATTCTGGACCTATTTTGAAATTGGAATATTTTGAATTTTGTGTGAAATTGGCCAAATTACCAATTTCTGATCACTTTATTGGGTAGTTGAAATAGTTGATTGGGCAGTTTCTTGTGCTCAATTGATAAAACAGAAGTAATACTAGTGAAATAGATAAGAATTTAGTTGACTGGAATAATGTAATTGCCTAAAAGAGGAGTCAAAGTGGGCAAAATTGCTGATATGTAAATATCGCTGATGCAGTAAAATTCACGATAGTGTAATTTCGTCAATATTCCATCAAATTTTGTACTTTTTTTTTTTTAACAAGTCAAGCATCTCCCACTGAGGCAGGGTGACCCAAAAAGAAAAAATCCCCAAAAAGAAAATACTTTCATCATCATTCAACACTTTCACCTCACTCACACATAATCACTGTTTTTGCGGAGGTGCTCAGAACACAACAGTTTAGAAGCATATACATATAAAGATACACAACATATCCCTCCAAACTACCAGTATCCCAAACCCCTCCTTTAAAGTGCAGGCATTGTACTTCCCATTTCCACTACTCAAGTCCGGCTATATCAGAATAACCGGTTTCCCTGAATCCCTTCACTAAATATTACCCTGCTCACACTCCAACAGCTCGTCAGGTTCCAAATACAATTCGTCTCCAGTCACTCCTATCTAACACGGTCACGCACGCTTGCTGGAAGTCCGAGCCCCTCGCCCACAAAACCTCCTTTACCCCTTCCCTCCAACCTTTTCGAGGACGACCCCTACCCCGTCTTCCTTCCCTACAGATTTATATGCTCTCTATGTCATTCTACTTTGATCCATTCTCTCTAAATGACCAAACCACCTCAACAACCCCTCTTCTGCCCTCTGACTAATACTTTTATTAACTCCACACCTTCTCCTAATTTCCACACTCCGAATTTTCTACATAATATTTACACCACACATTGCCCTTAGACAGGACATCTCTACTGCCTCCAGCCGTCTCCTCACTGCAGCATTTACAACCCAAGCTTCACACCCATATAAGAGTGATTGGTACCACTATACTTTCATACACCTACTTCTTTGCCTCCATAGATAGTTTTTTGTCTCCACATATACTTCAACGCACCACTCACCTTTTTTCCTTCATCAATTCTATGATAACCTCATCCTTCATAAATCCATCCGCTGATACGTCAACTCCCAAATATCTGAAAACGTTCACTTCTTCCATACTACTCCTCTCCAGTTTGATATCCAGTTTTTCTTAATCTAAATCATTTGATACCCTCATCACCTTACTCTTTTCTATGTTCACTTTCAACTTTCTACCTTTACACACACTCCCAAACTCGTCCACTAACCTTTGCAATTTTTCTTTAGAATCTCCCATAAGCACAGTATCATCAGCAGAAAGTAACTGTGTCAGTTCTCATTTTGTATTTGATTCCCCATAATTTAATCCCACCCCTCTCCCGAACACCCTAGCATTTACTTCTTTTACCTTCTGAAAAAGATTCTCTACCATTTCATAAGAAAAAATAACTAAAAATTTTTTTGAAAATTTTTGAAAATTTTTGGACCCTCGAAGGCTTAAGAACTGAATATGATGGACTATATTATTTTTTCCTCAGTTATTTTTCTACAAAATGCATTCATTTTTGTGTATAATAATTATATGCATATGTAAAGGTCTTGCATATGTTTGGTAAAGATAGAAACTAGAATTAATAATTCTGAATGTGTTCAGTACCATGTTCCAGGTGCTCGGTGTTCATCACTTTGCATATGCAAAGAGTGATATCACATGCGATGAGAGAGAAGGAAGGACTGGGAGAGAAGAGAAGAGGAGTGGAAGAATAAAAGAGGGAATAAGAGAGAGAGTGGGAGGTTGAAGAATGGAAGAGAAGGGTAGGATATAGCGAGGGAAGGAGGATAGAAGGACTCGTATGAGTATTGGAAGTTACTTTTTATTTTGTTATTGAAAAAATAATGAAATTACATATGGAATATTAAGGCTCAGGATTGAAGCTTTGATTATAACATGGGTGCATTAGTCTATGGAAAAAATAGGTCCTGTGTTCTGAACACCCAAGTAACAGGCAATTTTAATGAAATCATTGATGTGAATTGGGGCCCTGCTGTATACAGAATAAATCTCTAAAACTATCTTTCAGATTAGCATGAAATTTAGTACCAGGTACGTACTCAGTAATTCTTTCTAATAATATATTTTTTATTAACACATCAGCTGTTTCCCACCAAGGCAGGGCCATAAAATATCTTATTTCTCAGCACACTATACCTCTACAATCCTCTCTTGGACACTTGTGCACCACCTTCCATCTACCCTAAATTAATGTATCTATATTATTAGCTTGTCTTTCTTACTTGTCTTACTTCCTGGAAAAGGTAGAAACATTGGGCATGTTTCTTTATACTGTTTATGTTCCCCATCAGTCAAATGGGTACCTGGGTGTTAGTCGACTGGTGTGGGTCGCATCCTGGGACAAAACTGCCCCAATTTGCCCGAAATGCTCTGCACAATAAGCGGCTTTCTATGTAGTAGTATGACATTGATGTCAGCTAGACCTGTATACCTTGTACATGTACTTGTAGAAATAAAGGTCTTTTTGTATATTATTGTACCTCATCCAAAGGGATGAGGTGTCATGATGCCTGTAAAGGGCTCTTGATCCTAGGAATTTGAACTACAGTACCCCTTTTAAGTCATACCTGCATACCTCACTCCCCAGGCTCTGTATTAATGAGGAAGCTATAAACCTGTAGGTTTACAGCTTCCTCATTAATATAATAATTTTCTAAATTGTCATACTCACTTGACAACACTTCTTTTTTATTGTGAGTTTCATATCACCACTTTATCTGTTACTTTCCTTATTTTCTGAATATTTATATTATTCTTTGAACAAGTAAGAATCTTGAATTGGAATTTTTATTGAGCATACCAGGTTATGATAAGCCCAAGCTGGTGACCCACATAACCTTTAATGCAAAACTCTAAGTAAAAACTTGTAATAGTTTCAGGATTGATACTATTATGGTATTTTACAACTTGTGTTATGAGCTTGAATATGACTACTTTAACTTTTGTCAAGTAAATTTTTGTGTGTGTTTTGGGTAATATTTTTGAGTATGTTTTACAAGGTGTGTTCTCAGGTTCAAAACTAATGCAGGTAACTTGTGTATTATAGGTGATCATAGGGGACGATAACAATAGGAGGCAGCACCACCATCACCGTCACCATCATAGCAGACATCACCACCACCAACCCCACCATCGTTTCCATCAACATCCTCCTCACCACCACAACAGGAAGATGTCTCTAGCACCCCCAGCCTGTGGTCGAGAGCCAAGCAACATATCAGTCATTGAGGAAAGAAACAACAGTTGTGATACAAACAGTGGTAGCTGCTGTACTGTCAACAGGTACTTCACATATTCAGTACACATAATATGGCACTGACAAAGTGTATTTTTGGTTAGCTTTAATAAATTACAGTGTTACCTCGAGCTTCGATCAGCTCCAAACTTGAACAGTTATGTAAGTGTATTTTTGTAAGTGTATTTTTGGGGGGTCTAAAACAGACTAATCTAATTTACATTATTCCTTATGGGAGCAAATTCGTTGGGTATCGGCACTCGAACAGCCTTCTGGAAGGAATTAAGTTCGTAACTCGAGGTACCACTGTAATTCATTTTCACATTTTTTAATATGTTGATATTTATTTTTATTATTAAAAAAATAATAATAAAAATAAATTTATATTCAGATGTAATAATTTCCACTGACAGTATCATATTATATTCGTCGTTATAAATCTATAGGGAAAGGAAGGCAAGGTAGGGGTCATCCCCAAAAAGGTTGGAGGGAGGGGGTAAAGGAGGTTTTGTGGGCGAGGGGCTTGGACTTCCAGCAAGTGTGCATGAGCGTGTTAGATAGGAGTGAATGGAGACAAATGGTTTTTGGGACCTGATGTGCTGTTGGAGTGTGAGCAGGGTAATATTTTGTGAAGGGATTCAGAGAATCCAGATAGCTGGTCTTGAGTCCTGGAAATGGGAAGTACAGTGCCAGCACTTTAAAGGAGAGGTTTAGGGTATTGGCAGTTTGGAGAGCGGTGTAATCTGTCGTATCTGATTGTCTCTGCAAAGACAGTGATTATGTGTGAGTGATGGTGAAAGTGTTGAATGACGAGAATTTTTTCTTTCTTTTTGGGTCACCCTGCCTCGGTGGGAAATGGCCGACGTATTAAAAAAAATGAAAACTGGAATAGACTTTTATTTCTGCTTCTGACTTGTTGTTTTGAGCTCTTGATTTGCTGTTTATTTCTACATTATACCTCTGTATGTTAATAGGCTTTCTTGAGAGAAGCAGAAACAGTGGGCAGTCATGATTATTATTGTAGTCATTATGTAATACAGTACAGTATAACTTATTGATAGGCTGTTTCAATAATTTGCACTATGATAACGGCTGTCTGAGGCCAAACACATTAATTGTGCAATCATGAACTCAAATTTTTTAAGTATATTTTTACCTTTCTGTGATAAACAGTGAAATTGTTGTTCATGAGGGCTAAATTCCTAGAGATTCATGGAATAAAATGTATGCAAATAACACATGTGCCTCAGGCTGAACTTAATGAAAGGAGATGGCGATTTGTTAGGGTTTACTTAGTTATTGAAGGTGGTTTCAAGGATCATCTTCAACATAGTCTTGTCCTAGACCAGCAGTGCTGTATGACCCTTATGGGTTTAGTGCTTAATAATAATAATAATAGTAATAGACCAGGCCTTCTTGTTGATAGCCTGATTAGTAATGATATTGCTGTAATGGGCTCATGCTTTGCTGCATTCTGAAGGTTTCTGTAGACACTGTAGAATAATGTTGCCTCCACCACTCTCAAACTTCATGCTCCACTCTGTCACTACATCTGCCACAAATAATTTATCTAGGCAAGCTGCAAGCTTGCCTTGGATATTAAATTCAGATCTGAGTTATTTTGTTACCTCAGTAACTTTACCTCAAGGCTGCTATACCATCCTCACAATCTTCATCAATATCACCCTGTATGTTCACAAAGAGTACAATACTTTTGTTTTTCCTTCCAACTCTTGCTCTTTTTTCCTCTCATACAGTACAGTATTATTTTTTCTCTTAATATACACAAAACAATCCCATTTCATAAAATAAATGAAATATATATGTACGGTTTTAATATATGAGACATTGATGTCATCACCTATTCTGTAGATAAACTAATACGTATGTTTTCCTCTGTACAGTGAGGGTGAAACGGACGAAGAGGGGCCCAATAAAGGCTCTCACTCGCCTTTGTTGACACGGCATCAGAGTTTGGAAGGGAAGAGCTCAGGGTGTCGCAGAGTTCGCTCAGGCAACTCGAGGCTGGCACCCACCCCTCGGAATTCCGGTCGTGCGTACCAGCCTCTGGTGTTTCGTAGCAGCTCTGCAATAGCAAAATTTCGAGATAAGACAAAAGTAGAAGGGGACAATTATAAAGTGTGTACACTTACCTTTGAAAATATTTATGCAGATGATGAGAGTAGTTCAGACACATTAAGCGTTGTGAAATTGTCCAGCAGCTCCGATGAAACATTGAGTAGTGTAGCAGATCGGTTAAGTCTACATAGGCAGTCTTTAAGTAATCTTGACTGTGATAATGTTAACTCTAAGTGTAGTGGGAATGGGAACTGTGGTGAATCTCCAGGAAACATGGAGGGAAATCATGATGAGAATTCTCACCATAGAAGCAGAGAGGAAGTTGTAGTGGACTTAGAAGATGCCCCTACCATTCCACAACATGCTGGAGATGATTCCTCAGTAGTGACAGACGAACATAGGGCATGTAGTGTAAGAAATTCTCAAGAACTGCTAGTTAGTGATGGTGTTGAGAGTAGATCATCTAGTCCAGGATTAGACTGGCTTTTTTCACATAGTGACTCAGATTCAGAATTCGCTGATGTTGCTCGTGCTCCCAGTGAACGCAGTGACCAGAGAAGGCGTTCTTCACAGCAAAGTGATGAGGATAGCTGGAATATAATATGGTCTTCACCAGAAAGTCCCACTGAAGCATGTGCTGTCTCTTATCCACACCCTGCCAGCCAGTGTGGTACGGCTTGTCAGGGTGCTATTCCTAAGAAACGGAGGCAGGGTGTAGTAGTAGAGGAGGTAGAGTCTAGTGGAGGAGGTGAACACAACAGGGAAGCATCTGTTACCATGGAAGATCTAGTTCGAAGACTCTTGGATATTCTAAACAGTTCTCTCCACGATCCTCAGCAGTGCCATCGGGACATTCAAAAGCTTGTGGTGCTGAAACAAAGGTTGGAACAAGAAGGGGGTATTGGTGAAGCTATCAAGGGTGGGCAGGGACCACTAACTGGGGCTTCAGAAAACTCAACACTAAACAACAAACCCAGTGAGAAGCCAGTGGAAACACACCTGTATAGAAAGCCAGCAGTACGCAGGAGAAGACACGTTGCGGGCAACGCCACATCACCACCCACTTCTCCCAGTGATCCCCCAGATATTTCTTCCTTACTCACTACTACAATAACCACTTCCCTCACCACCACCTTCACCACCAGTCTCACCACTACCCTCTCACCAGCATATCAAGAAACTCACAGGAACCATGTACCATATGTAAGTAATCCTTGTAACATTTCTCTAAATAAATAGAGCATAAAAACTTAAAATTTGACTACTTTTACTCTTTAAAATATAAATGCCATTTCCAGCAGATGCTCATAATGACTTTTGAAGTGAAAACTAAAATCTGGCATGTTACTTTGTATGTGTTTGAATATGAGTTGAATTACAAGTATATGTAATGGTTGTGAACTTATGGAAGTTATTTTATATAATGTAGTTGGAATACTGTTGAATAGTAATTATAGTAATTATAGTGGGAGACGGCCGACTTGTTGAAAAAAAAAAAAAATGAGAAGATATATGACTGTGCTGTTATAATGGTCTAAGTACACTGAATTGAATGTACATCAGGATGTGTTAAAAATTAAAATTTTTGATTCAACCCTGGCATTAAAAAATTAAAATTTTAACTCCACTCATTTTTCACTGTTGTGCTCTCAGTATCAGTGAAGCCTTCATATAACCAATTTTGGGGTTGATCCCATTGAACTATGACTTTGAAGCCAGTGTTGGTTCCATAGTTCTACCCTGTGAGCTCAGCTTACTCAGATAAGCTGTGAGCTGTAAATTTGGGCCTAGAAATGAGAGAATGGGTCTCTGTGGTAAGTGTGAACCATATAAAAAAAAATCCTTCAGCAAGCAGTGCATAATGGGGAAAAAACTGTGACTGTGTTTTTGGTTTAAAACAGTGACTTTGCAGTGTATTTTTGTATGGTTTTTATGGTTATGTTCTTATTTTCTTGGTCTCAGTTGATAGAATGGAAGATATATTGCTGAAATAGAGATGATTTTGATTGGTTTCCAGACTGAAAGTAGCTTGAAATTTAGCTAAAAGTAGCAGAAATGTTCAATTTTTGCCGATAATCCAGAGTACACAAATGACGTCATTCATCCAATGTGAGTCCAACTGGCCAGTCTATTACACATTTAGGAATGCACTGAGATTATTTATACAGTTATTACAATAATGCATTAGTCTTCATAACAGCAAATTAAAGTATCAATTTCTGATCACTATTGGGTAGTTGAAATAGGTAAATGGGTGGATTCTTGTACTCAGTTGATAGAATAGAAGGAATACATACTAGCAAAATAGGGGTCAAAGTGGGCAAAATCTCCAATGCGTAAATATCGCTGAGACCGCTAACTTTGCGAAAGTGTAACTCCATAAGTTTTTCATCAGATTTCGTTTCTTTGGTTTTACTACCTTTGGAAATAGATCATCATTTCATAATTTTTTTTTTTTTTTTTTCAAATTCTTCGACCCTGAGAGCAAGTTAGAGATCAAGGGTCTTGATCCTGAAAGGATTAATGAGCTAATAGGAAGAGAAGGTGTCAGGTATCCAAGGAACTTTGTCCATTGTTTCAGGAATAAATTTACCCTGAAGATCATAACAAAGATACACAATTCTGTAATGAATGGACCTTGTTATTTCCAAAGTCATTCATCCTGAAGATGGTAACAATAATTGACAGTTCTGTCACCAGTAGTTTTGCCCATTGTTTTGAAAATCAAATTACTCAGTGGATTTTATCCATTATTTCCAAAATCTGTTAAATTGAGGTTTTATTGTACTTTTTTTTTAACCACACATTCATCATCACTTATTTTGCTGTCTTGCTAGAAGTGTTCTGGTATCACAGTTCAGTTTATCCTCCAACTGCAACATTCAATTTCCTTCTATAAAGTGCAGGCAATATCCTTAATTTCTCCATGACTATAAAATTTTCATATACTTTGTGAATATCTTTGACTAAAGATACATTAAATATGTAAAACATATGGAGAGACACCAGGTAGGAATTAAAGACGATAAGCCAGTTGCTGAGATATTTATGGATTAATTGCAATTCTGAATAGTTTAATTATGCTGAAGGTATCATATAGTTAATATTTTATACAGTATTTATTGAAATTCACATCTTTCAGAGAAGCAGTCATTTTTCGCCACTAGCAAGGAGTGGAGGTGACAGTGATGATGATACCAAGAATCGCAGAACTGCAGTTGAGAAGAAGTTGGAAGGCAGAGGAAATACATCATTATTTCCTGGCAGTTCTTCTCTAGGAGATGGAGGCCCACCCCTCTCTGCACTGTCTTCGCTATCCTCTCCTGGGACTCATCTTGCAGTTTCCCATGAAGACACTAGTGATGGAGCTGTTCATTGTTTTCAGGATGAAAGAGGAAACTGGTTTACTTATACTTTCAATGACAGAGGAGTGAGCACAGCTTCCAGTGTGATGCCCGTAAGTGACAACAAGGTTTTAACGAAGCTCCTGCGGCGGACAAGCAATAGTCTTCAGGGGTCAAGTCAGAACAATTGTAGTCAAAGCACCCCAGGGGCTCTGACACGGGGTGATGGCTCACTCAGCAGTTCCTCCATGTCTCTCTGCTCAGGGCTTACTGTTATACTGGATAACCATTTCCCACCTGCTTCCTTGCCATCTGCCTGGCCAGAGATATGCAAAGCTCCTACCAGTATGGCATCGCCTATATCTGATCCAGCCAGTAGTTCAGTGTTAGTACCAACTTCTTTGACTGTACGCCGTAGAGGATCTTCACCACCCGTTTCAACAGCTTCTGTTAATTTAAGAGATCAAGATAGAAGCAACCAGGATGGCTCAAGTGACCCTGATCCAATACCTAGAGTAACGGTAGGACCCAGAGGTGGTCGGGACCTGCCATTGTTATCCTCTGAAACACGTCATCATTTGCAACTTCTAAGTATAGGGGCCCCGCATAATCCTCTACAACTATTCACAAATGCACTGTTTGAGCGTCGACGCTCTAGCAACCGTCCGGGCACCGCTGCAGGTTCCATCATTACTTCCGAGGCCTTCGAGAACATAAGTTTGCCTCACGGGCTTGATATGGATGTAGATCTGGGACTCTCCTCTAACAAACTTAAGTTTCCTGTTACAGCACCACAAACTATACAATATTACAAATTTAGAGTTTTTGGAAATAAATCAATGAAGATAAAGTTTGATAGACTCTTTTTGTTAGCATTATTAGACAGAAATGTTACATTTTTAGAAAATTTTATTTGTATTTTTCTTGCCATTTTTGTAAGCATATTAGGATGTATGATTCTTCACAAAGAGTTCTATCAGGAGCTAAGTGTATTTATTTTTTGTCTTGTAATGGCAAGCTGTCAATATTCTCTGTTTAAGAGTGTACAGCCTGATGCAGCCTCTCCCACCCATGGTTATAATCGTGTTGTTCTCTACAGCAGACCAGTGTACTTTATTATATGCTGCAGTGTCATACTCCTAATACAATTATACTTAGATAGTAGCCATTCGTGGCCCAAGTTCATTCTCTATGGAATTGACTTTACCAATCGTGTTATGTTAGAACAATGTAGAGACTTGTTATTACTATTTATATTGTGTTTCCCTATCATCTTCAGTTTGGGGCTCTTGCCTCAAGTGAATACCTTCCTCATGTACCTTCTAGAACAAACAGACATCCACATATTTGGTGGTAATGCAACCACCAGCCTTACCTCAGCCCTATATTGCGTGGGTCGCTCGGTTCTCATGGTGCTCTTCCTGTTTGGCTTTGCGTATGGTGGACTCCGAGAGCCTGTGGCCCAAACTCAGCATATTCTTTACTCAATATTTTGTGGTCTGACTGTGGCTTTCAGTTATCACCTGAGCCGCTCGGCATCAGATCCCACCACCCTCTGGCGCTTGATACAACAACATATGTGGCCGGAGGAGCTGCGGCGGGAGACAGGAACCAGCAACCCTCAGCCTCCACAAGAAGTGGATGAACTCACTGATCCGCTGCCAGAGAAGTTGCGCAACACTGTTCATTCCCGTTTGGTGCATGATGCTATTATGTGTACTGTCATGGCAGTGGCAATATTTGCTGTGCACTCCAGTACTGTGTTCACAGTGCTCTTAGATGGAGAGAGTCCTGATCTTTTCACAGTACTTTGGATATTTGCAAGTCTGTTTGGCTTTTTTAACCACTATGTTATACCACAGTTGAGAAAGCAGTTACCGTGGCTGTGTGTGGCACATCCTGTGTGTAGAACTCATGAATATAGTCAGTTTGAAGTATATGATGCTGCCAAAGTTATGTGGTTTGAAAAAGTGTATGTGTGGTTGTGTATTTTAGAAAAGAACATTGTATATCCTGTACTTTTTCTCTGTGCCTTAACCAAAGATGCACCTACATTGGTTGAAAGGTTTGGTCTCAACACTGGGACACTGATTACTGTAATATGTGGCGTCAAGTGTTTACGTAGTGTATATTCACAGCCACAGTTTCAATACCTCATACTGGCATTTGCCAAGCTCTTCTTCAACTGGGATTTTAAGGGAAAATCTGAAACATTTTTGGTGGACTACTTTGTGATGGGGATAATTTTTACAAGAGTATATGAATTTCTCCTAAAAATGAAATTTATTGTGACATACATAGCACCCTGGCAGATCACTTGGGGTTCTGCTTTCCATGCATTTGCCCAGCCATTTAGTGTTCCCCACTCAGCCATGTTGTTTGTACAAGCTGCAGTTTCTGCCATTCTGTCCACCCCACTCAATCCAATCCTTGGCTCAGCCATCTTCATCACCTCCTACATCCGCCCTATCAAATTTTGGGAGCGTGACTACAATACAAAACGGGTGGACCACTCCAACACACGACTTTCATCTCACCTGGAGCGGAACCCAGGCTCAGACGATAACAACCTTAACTCCATATTCTACGAACACCTTACCCGATCTCTGCAGCATTCACTCTGTGGAGACCTACAGATGGGTTAGTTTTACATTACTTTGTGTGATTATCAGCTTATATTGTCCTGTCTTTAGTATTTAGTGTGTGACATAATGTTTCAGTTTCCAGTAGATACAATTTCAGCAGTCTAGTATCCTTTGTATTTTTTTTTTTTTTTTTTTTTTTATAGAAGATTGTTATTGTGGCTTGGTCTTCCTGTTGATTTATGCAAGGGGGAGGTGGGACCTTAATTCTGAAGGGTTCTTGATCCAAAGAATTGAAGCTTTCCTTCCCTTTGGATCAAACTTGATTATCTACCTTCCATCTCCCAGGCATTGTAATGTCACTACTAGTTTAGTGCCTCCCCATGAATATTATTATAATATTCCTCTTGATAGTTTTAACTGATCTTCTGTATCTCTTTCCTTGTGCAATTTTATGATCTATGTAACTCATATCAGCTCTTTTCTCCCATCTGCTATCTAGCATACATTGTATGCAACATTTTTAACAGAATTTCAACATTACTGTTGTTACTATACTATTGCTATTATTACTGTCACTACTATTACTGTTATTACTATTATTGCTTTTTTACTATTACTACTATTGCTATTATTATTACTACTATTGCTATTACTGCTATTGCTATTATTACTATTATTGCTATTACTCTTACTACTTTTACTATTATTACTATTACTCTTATTACTTTTACTATTGCTATTATTACTATTACTACTATTGCTATTATTACTATTACTACTATTGCTACTATTATTGTTACTACTATTGCTCTTATTACTTATACTATTACAGGTCAGCCATCACTAATCCGGCAATCAGTAATCCAGTTCAATCAGTAATCTGGCACAAATTTCGGCTAGCATAATTTCAAATTTCCAGGGTTGCCACATCAACCTGCTGCTACTGGTTGGTGGTTCTACTTGCTGCATAAGTCATTCTAATTTTTTTTTCTCCATTTATTGTTATAACCTGCTCACTTTTAGCCCTAGCCAGGGTTCCAATGAATAAAAGAAATGCTTCTCGTTGTGTAAAGCACGTACACTGTACATTGTCCATAAAAGATAAGGTGGCTTTGAAGCCACTGTCGGTTGCCATGAGCTCAGCTCACTCAGATAAGCTGTGACCAGTAAATTTGGTAAGTGTGCACTACATAATGATATTATGCACTGCAGTATGCAGTGCATAATGAGAAAAAACAGCAACCATGCTTTTAGTGTAAAACAGTGACTTTGCAGTGTAGTTTTTGTGTTGTTTGTATGGTTGTATTCCCCCCCCCCCTTTTTTTTTGGTCTTATTTGATAGAATGGAAGATTTATTACAGTAATAGATATAAATTTGATTGGTTTCATGCCAGAAAGTACCTTAACCCTTTCAGGGTCCAGAGGCCAAATTTCAAAGTGTGCATCAGGGTCCAAGAATTTAAAAAAAAAAAAATTGTTATTTTTTCTTATGAAATAGTAGAGAATCCTTTTCTGAAGGTAATAAAACAAAAAGTACGAAATTTGATGGAAATTTGACGAAATTATGCTCGCGAATTTTGATGTGTCAGCGATATTTATGCATCGGCGATTTTTGCCGACTTTCACTCCCATTTTAGGCCAATTACATTATTCCAGTCGACCAAATTCTTAGCTATTTCACTAGTATTACTTCTGTTCTATCAGTTGAGCACAAGAAATCACCAAGTCAACCGTTTCAACTACAAAATAGTGATCGGAAATTGGTAATTTGGCCAATTTAATGCAAAGTTCAAAATACACCAATTTCAAAATAGGGTCCAGAATAAACAATGCAGGCATTCCTGGCACTAAACTAACATTTCCTCTATTCATTAGTTATGTTTTCAGGCCTTACAAATGAATTCCATTTTGATTTTTTATTCACATAATGAGTTTTTATTCAAACCAAAAAATAGAAGATTTACTGTTATGCAATATTGTAATAATTGTATAAATAATATCACCACATTTGTGAACGTATATTAGACCCACCAGCTGGCATGTATTAGACGTGTGAGGTCATTTGTTTACTCTTGAACATCGGCAAAAATTTAACATTTCTGCTACTTTGAGCTCAGTTTCAAGCCATTTCCAGTACTAGAACCAATCAAAATCATCTCTATTTCTGTAATATATGTTCCATTCTATCAAATGAAACCAAGAAATCGCAAATACAACTATAAAAAACATACGAAAAAACATTGCAAAGTTGCTTTTTTTAATAAAAAATTACGGTCTCATTTTTTTCTCTCATTATGCACTGTGTGCTGCAGGATTTGTTTTATGTGGTGCACACATACCACATAGATGTATTCTCTCATATCTAGGCCCAACTTTACTGCTCACAGCTTATCAGAGTGAGCTGAGCTCATGGCATAGATCTACGGTTTGGAGCCTCAACTCAAAGCCGTAGAACTAGGGCACGGACCCTGAAAGGGTTAAAATTGAGCTCACAGTAGCGGAAATGTTCGATTTTTACTGATGTTCAAGAGTAAACAAATGATGTCACTATCCAATGTGTCCAACTGGCCGGTCTGATATGCAGTCATGAATGGGTTGACATTTTTTATACAATTATTACAATAATGCAGTAGTCTTCATAACAGTAAATTTTCTATTTTTTCTGTGAATAAAAATTCAAAATGGAAAGCTAGTGTAGTATAAGAGGGGCCTGGAGATGTGACTAATGAGCAGAGAAAATGCTATTTTAGTGCTAGGAATGTCTGCATTGTTTATTCTGGACCCTATTTTGAAATTGGTATCTCTTGAAATTTGTGTGAAATTGGCCAAATTACCAATTTCTGACCACTTTAATGCGTAGTGTCTTGTACTCAGTCGACAGAATAGAAAGAATACTAGTGAAATAGCTATGAGTTTGGTAGACTGGAACAATGGAATGCGTGAAAAATAGGGTGTAAAGTGGGTGAAATTGCCGATGCATTGGGTTAAGTGTATTCTGACCTGTTATATCACCCTGTAATCTGGCAAAACCACTAATCTGGCACCCTACAGGTCCCACTGATGCTGGATTAATGGTGGTCAACCTGTACTACTGCTATTATTACTATTATTATTATTATTATTATTATTATTATTATTACTATAGCTGTTATTACTACTATAATTAGCATTATGCCGTACTACTACTATACCATTATTATTATTATTATTATACTACTATACTATTATTGCTATACTGTTACTACCATACTGTTACTATTATACTACTATAAAAAAATAAATGTACTATTACTAGTATAATATTACTATACTTCTACTCAATCACTACACTACTACTACTACTGGTATACTACTACTAATAATACTATTTCAACACAGTACTGTAATTGTATGCTTATTTTAATTTTATGCCTAATCCATTGTATTTTTCTTCACATCTGATAGATGTTCTGAATTAATACCCTCTTGTCAGTTCTTTGTTTTATATTATTTTAATAATTGTTAACAGGTCGTTGGGGAGCCGCTAGCCAAGGAGACTGCTTTGTTCTGGCTTCAGATTACCTCAACTGTTTGGTCCACATCATTGAGCTAGGCAATGGCCTTGTAACATTCCAAATGCGTGGTCTAGAATTCCGTGGTACCTATTGCCAGCAGCGGGAAGTGGAGGCTATTTCTGAAGGAGTAGAGGAAGATGCAGGTATGTTGATATAGTTTACTGATCTGTTGTTTTCAGTATTTTATTCCTGTGAGCTTTCTGTATTGGAAAGGCAAACTTGTATTTATTTTTTTTATTGTAGTTGGTGGAAATAGTCAAGCTTTTGTAGGAAGATTGTCTCTGAATAATTATTCTATCATAGCTTTGGTTTGTTTCATAACTTCACCCCTTTATATTTTCATGCTTTCATATCTGCTAGGCTACAACTGTTTGACTGGCAGCTGGTTGCCCCACATAAGTTATTGAACCATGACAGACATGTCTTGTTCTATCATTGCAGTTTTCTTTTTCTGGTTATACAAAAGGTGTTCATAGGTTTCCATAGCAGCCATAAACTGGTCTCTACTTGGCTGCCATGTAAATAGCCCTAAACAAACTATTCACAAACCCCCCAACATCCATCCGTCTTTCGGGGTGCAGTCGCTATACTTCTCACCTCCAGAATTGAAGACTGACTAACTGATTTCTTTAAACCTTCAAATTTCCAAAACCACTTGTCTTCACTCACTCCAGTCTAGCAAGGTCACATAAGCCTATTAAAAGGTCAGACCCCCAACCACTCAAAACTTTTCTTCATCTCTCTCCCTCCAATCCTCCTTGGAATGATCCCAACCTGTTCTTCATTCAGCCCTGGGCTTGATCAGCCCATTCTCTTCATCATGTGTGTAAATTTTGTGTGTACATATTTCTGTCAGTAGTGAATAAAGATTTATTTAACTGACTGTAGTTAGGTATTTATTTATATTTATTTATTTATATTTATAGATGGGGTTGTAAGAGAAGTAAATGCGAGGGTCTTGGCAAGAGGCGTGGAGTTAAAAGATAAAGAATCACACATAAAGTGGGAGTTGTCACAGTTGCTCTTTGCTGATGACACTGTGCTCTTGGGAGATTCTGAAGAGAAGCTGCAGAGATTGGTGGATGAATATGGTAGGGTGTGCAAAAGAAGAAAATTAAAAGTGAATACAGGAAAGAGTAAGGTAATGAGGATAACAAAAACATTAGGTGATGAAAGATTGGATATCAAATTGGAGGGAGAGAGTATGGAGGAGGTGAATGTATTCAGATATTTGGGAGTGGACGTGTCAGCGGATGGGTCTATGAAAGATGAGGTGAATCATAGAATTGATGAGGGGAAAAGGGTGAGTGGTGCACTTTGGAGTCTGTGGAGACAAAGAACTTTGTCCTTGGAGGCAAAGAGGGGAATGTATGAGAGTATAGTTTTACCAATGCTCTTATATGGGTGTGAAGCATGGGTGATGAATGTTGCAAGGAGAAGGCTGGAGGCAGTGGAGATGTCATGTCTGAGGGCAATGTGTGGTATGAATATAATGCAGAGAATTCGTAGTTTGGAAGTTAGGAGGAGGTGCGGGATTACCAAAACTGTTGTCCAGAGGGCTGAGGAAGGGTTGTTGAGGTGGTTCGGACATGTAGAGAGAATGGAGCGAAACAGAGTGACTTCAAGAGTGTATCAGTCTCTGTAGTGGAAGGAAGGCGGGGTAGGGGTCGGCCTAGGAAAGATTGGAGGGAGGGGGTAAAGGAGGTTTTGTGTGCGAGGGGCTTGGACTTCCAGCAGGCATGCGTGAACGTGTTTGATAGGAGTGAATGAAGACAAATGGTTTTTAATACTTGACGTGCTGTTGGAGTGTGAGCAAAGTAACATTTATGAAGGGGTTCAGGGAAACGCAGGCCAGACTTGAGTCCTGGAGATGGGAAGTACAGTGCCTGCACTCTGAAGGAGGGGTGTTAATGTTGCAGTTTAAAAACTGTAGTGCAAAGCACCCTTCTGGCAAGACAGTGATGGAGTGAATGATGGTGAAAGTTTTTCTTTTTCGGGCCACCCTGCCTTGGTGGGAATCGGCCAGTGTGATAATAAAAAAAAAAAAAGTTAGGTATTAAATCTATTTCAAGTGTAGTGAAGTAGCACAATGATTTGTACCTTAAAATTTATCATGCAAAACTACTGTATACTATATTTGCATTTCATGGTGATGCTAAATGGCATAAGGTTGTCATTTGTTGGTCAGGATTTAAAAAGGTAAATAATGTTGATATATATATATATTGGCAGTTTGGAGGGATATGTTGTGTATCTTTATATGTTTATGCTTCTAGACTGTTGTATTCTGAGCACCTCTGCAAAAACAGTGATAATGTGCGAGTGTGGTGAAAGTGTTGAATGATGATGAAAGTATTTTCTTTTTGGGGATTTTCTTTCTTTTTTGGGTCACCCTGCCTCGGTGGGAGACGGCCGACTTGTTGAAAAAAAAAAAAAAAAAAAAAATAATGTACAGTGGTACCTCGGGATACGAACAGCTCAAAACTTGAACAATTATTTTTTTTTTTTTCAACAAGTCTGCCGTCTCCCACCGAGGCAGGGTGACAAAAAAAAAAGAAAGAAAATCCCCATAAAGAAAATACTTTCATCATCATTCAACACTTTCACCACACTTGCACATTATCACTGTTTTTGCAGAGGTGCTCAGAATACAACAGTTTAGAAGCATACACATATAAAGATACACAACATATCCCTCCAAACTGCCAATATCCCAAACCCCTCCTTTAAAGTGCAGGCATTGTACTTCCCATTTCCAGGACTCGAGTCCGACTATATGAAAACCGGTTTCCCTGAATCCCTTCACTAAATATTACCCTGCTCACATTCCAACAGATCGTCAGGTCCCAAGTACCATTCGTCTCCATTCACTCCTATCTAACACGCTCACGCACGCTTGCTGGAAGTCCAAGCCCCTTGCCCACAAAACCTCCTTTACCCCCTCTCTCCAACCCTTTCGAGGACGACCCCTACCCCGCCTTCCTTCCCCTATAGATTTATTTGCTTTCCAGGTCATTCTACTTTGATCCATTCTCTCTAAATGACCAAACCACCTCAACAACCCCTCTTCTGCCCTCTAACTAATACTTTTATTAACTCCACACCTTCTCCTAATTTCCACACTCCGAATTTTCTGCATAATATTTACATCACACATTGCCCTTAGACAGGACATCTCCTCCCCAATTTGATATCCAATTTTTCTTTATCTAAATCATTTGACACCCTCATCACCTTACTCTTTTCTATGTTCACTTTCAACTTTCTACCTTTACACACATTCCCAAACTCGTCCACTAACCTTTGCAATTTTTCTTTAGAATCTCCCATAAGCACAGTATCATCAGCAAAAAGTAACTGTGTCAATTCCCATTTTGAATTTGATCCCAAAATTTAATCCCACCCCTCTCCTGAACACCCTAGCATTTACTTCCTTTACAACCCCATCTATAAATATATTAAACAACCATGGTGACATTACACATCCCTGTCTAAGACCTACTTTTACTGGGAAGTAGTCTTCCTCTCTTCTACACACCCTAACCTGAGCTTCACTATCCTCATAAAAACTCTTTACAGCATTTAATGACTTACCACCTATTCCATATACTTGCAACATCTGCCACATTGCTCCTCTATCCACTCTATCATATGCCTTTTCCAAATCCATAAATGCAATAAAAACTTCCCTTCCTTTATCTAAATACTGTTCACATATATGCTTCAATGTAAACACTTGATCTACACATCCCCTACCCACTCTGAAACTCCTTGCTCATCCGCAATCCTACATTCTGTCTTACCTCTAATTCTTTCAATTATAACCCTACCGTACACTTTTCCTGGTATACTCAGTAAACTTATTCCTCTATAATTTTTACAGTCTCTTTTGTCCCCTTTCCCTTTATATAAAGGGACTATACATGCTCTCTGCCAATCCCTAGGTACCTTCCCCTCTTTCATACATTTATTAAAGAAAAGTACCAACCACTCCAACACTATATCCCCCCCTGCTTGTAACATTTCTGTCATGATCCCATCAGTTCCAGCTGCTTTACCCCCTTTCATTTTACGTAATGCCTCACGTACCTCCCCCACACTTACATTCTGCTCTTCTTCACTCCTAAAAGATGGTATACCTCCCTGACCAGTGCATGAAATTACTCCCTCTGTTTCTTCCTTAACATTTAAAAGTTCCTCAAAATATTCTCGCCATCTACCTAATACCTCCATCTCCCCATCTACTAACTCCCCTACTCTGTTTTTAACTGACAAATCCATACTTTCCCTAGGCTTTCTTAACTTGTTTAACTCACTCCAAAATTTTTTCTTATTTTCATTAAAATTTCTTGAGAGTGCCTCTCCCACTCTATCATCTGCTCTCCTTTTGCACTCTCTCACCACTCTCTTTACCTTTCTTTTACTCTCCATATACTCTGCTCTTCTCATAACACTTCTGCTTTGTAAAAACCTCTCATAAGCTACCTTTTTCTCTTTTATCACACCCTTTACTTCATCATTCCACCAATCACTCCTCTTTCCTCCTGCCCCCACCCTCCTATAACCACACACTTCTGCCCCACATTCTAATACTGCATTTTTAAAACTTCCAACCCTCTTCAACCCCCCACTACTCATCTTTGCACTAGTCCACCTTTCTGCCATAGGCGCTTATATCTCACCCGAACTTCCTCCTCCCTTAGTTTATACACTTTCACCTCCCTCTTACTTGTTGTTGCCACCTTCCTCTTTTCCCATCTACCTCTTACTCTAACTGTAGCTACAACTAAATAATGATCCGATATATCAGTTGCCCCTCTATAAACATGTACATCCTGGAGCCTACCCATCAACCTTTTATCCACCAATACATAATCTAATAAACTACTTTCAGTACGTGCTACATCATACCTTGTATATTTATTTATCCTCTTTTTCATAAAATATGTATTACTTATTACCAAATCTCTTTCTACACATAGCTCAATTAAAGGCTCCCCATTTTCATTTACCCCTGGCACCCCAAATTTACCTACTACTCCCTCCATAACATTTTTACCCACTTTAGCATTGAAATCCCCAACCAACATTACTCTCACACTTGATTCAAAACTCCCCACGCATTCACTCAACATTTCCCAAAGTCTCTCTCTCTCCTCTACACTTCTCTCTTCTCCAGGTGCATACACGCTTATTATAACCCACTTTTCACATCCAATCTTTATTTTACTCCACATAATCCTTGAATTAATACATTTATAGTCTCTCTTTTCCTGCCATAGCTTATCCTTCAACATTATTGCTACTCCTTCTTTAGCTCTAACTCTATTTGGAACCCCTGACCTAATCCCATTTATTCCTCTCCACTGAAACTCTCCCACCCTCTTCAGCTTTGTTTCACTTAAAGCCAGGACATCCAGCTTCTTCTCATTCATAACATCCACAATCATCTCTTTCTTATCATCTGCACAACATCCATGCACATTCAGACTTCCCACTTTGATAATTTTCTTCTTCTTATTCTTTTTGGTAATCTTTACAGGAAAAGGGATTACTAGCCCATTGTTCCCGGCATTTTAGTTGACTTTTACAACACGCATGGCTTACGGAGGAAAGATTCATATTCCACTTCCCCATGGATATAAAAGGAAAAGTAATAAGACCAAGAACTATTAAGATAAAATCAAAGAAAACTCAGATGAGTGTGTATAAATAAATGTGTACATGTATGTGTAGTGTGACCTAAGTGTAAGTAGAAGTAGCAAGACATACCTGTAATCTTGCATATTTATGAGACAGACAAAAGACATCAGCAGTCCTACCATCATGTAAAACAATCACAGGCTTCGTTTTACACTCACTTGGCAGGACGGTAGTACCTCCCTGGGTGGTTGCTGTCTACCAGCCTACTACCTACAATTATGTAAGTGTATTTTTGGGGGTCTGAAATGGATTAATCTAATTTACATTATTCTTAATGGGAACAAATTCATTGGGTATCGGCACTCGAACAGCCTTCTGGAATGAATTAAGTTTGTATCCCAAGGTACCACTGTCCTTTATTTTCAGCATGTATCTTGTGTTTTCACTGTACTTTTTCAGGTGGGAATGGCTTATTAATTTTAAGCATTTAAGTGAAATATAATTATTGGGTAAATGAGGGATTACTAAACTAGTACTGTTAACTATGTTTTTAGAGATTAGACACATTTGTTTATACTGATGCTGCATGTTATCTAGGCACCATAAGGCTCTTCGGAAAATTTGAGAAAATGAATTTTATGTATACCTACATAGTAGATAATGCAGAGGCTTTGTGCTTGCAGGGTGTTGCTGTTGTGAGCCAGGTCACCTGCCACACCTACTAAGTGCTAATGCAGCCTTCAACCAACGGTGGTTGGCCTGGGAGGTGACAGCCACAAAATATGTCTTAGAGGGCTATTCCATCTCTGATAACTCAGCTGCATCCATGCTGCAAATATTTGAACTCCGAAAGATTCTCATAACGTATTATGTGAAGGTGATTATCCTAGAGCAGTTATCTTTTATTTATATATGTATGTATGTATGTTTTTTTTTTTTTCCAACTTGCTGGCCATCTCTCACTGAGGCAAGGCAACCCAAAAAAGAAAAACACTGTCACCATCATTCACACGTAATCACTGTCTTTGCAGAGGCACTCAGATATGACAGTTCAGATGTCATTCCAAATAGCAGATATCCCAAACCTCTTCTTTAAAGTGCAGGCATTGTGCTTCCCACCTTCAGGACTCAAGTTTGGCTAACTGCTTTCTCTGAATTCCTTCACAAAATATTACCCTGCTCACACTCCAACAGCTCACCAGGTCCCAAAAATCATTTGTCTCCATCCACTCTTGTCTAACATGCTCACACATGCCTGCTGCATGTAAGTATATTTATATACAAGTATGTATGTATGAGGTGGAAAGTGCAGTGCTTGCATTCTAAATGATGGATTTGGGATATTTGCTGTTTGGAGGGACATTTGAACTGTCGTATGTGCGTGCCTCTGGCAAAACAGTGATAGTTTGAATGATGGTGAAAGTGTTTCTTTTTCAAGTCACCTTGCCTCAGTGAGAGATGGCCAGCATGTTTATATACATATATAATGTTGAAGGATAAGCTATGGCAGGAAAAGAGGGACTATAAATGTATTAATTCAAGGATTATGTGAAGTAAAATAAAGGTTGGATGTGAAAAGTGGGTTATAGTAAGTGTATATGCACCTGGAGAAGAGAGAAGTGTAGAGAGAGAGAGAGAGATTTTGAGAAATGTTGAGTTAATGTGTGGGGAGTTTTGAGCCAAGTGTGAGAGTAATGGTGGTTGGGGATTTCAATGCTAAAGTGGGAATAAATGTTGTGGAGGGAGTAGTAGGTAAATTTGGGGTGCCAGGGGTAAATGAAAATGGGGAGCCTTTAATTGAGGTATGTGTAGAAAGAGGTTTGGTAATAAGTAATACATATTTTATGAAGAAGAGGATAAATAAATATACAAGGTATGATATAGCACGTAATGAAAGTAGTTTGTTAGATTATGTAGTGGTGGATAAAAGGTTAATGGGTAGGCTCCAGGATGTACATGTTTATAGAGGGGCAACTGATGTATCAGATCATTATTTAGCTGTAGCTACAGTTAGAGTAAAAGGTAGATGGGAAAAGAGGAAAGTGGCAACAACAAGTAAGAGGGAGGTGAAAGTGTATAAACTAAGGGAGGAGGAAGTTCGGGTGAGATATAAGCGACTATTGGCAGAAAGGTGGGCTAGTGCAAGTATGAGTAGTGGGGGGGTTGAAGAGGGTTGGAATAGTTTTAAAAATGCAGTATTAGAATGTGGGGCAGAAGTTTGTTGTTATAGGAGGGTGGGTGCAGGAGGAAAGAGGAGTGATTGGTGGAATGATGAAGTAAAGGGTGTGATAAAAGAGAAAAAGTTTGCTTATTAGAGGTTTTTACAAAGCAGAAGTGTTATAAGAAGAGTAGAGTAGAGTATATGGAGAGTAAAAGAAAAGTGAAGAGAGTGGTGAGAGAGTGCAAAAGGAGAGCAGATGATAGAGTGGGAGAGGCACTGTCAAGAAATTTTAATGAAAATAAGAAAAAATTTTGGAGTGAGTTGAACAAGTTATGAAAGCCAAGGAAACGAATGGATTTGTCAGTTAAAAACAGAGTAGGGCAGTTAGTAGATGGGGAGATGGAGTTATTGGGTAGATGGCGAGAATATTTTGAGGAACTTTTAAATGTCGACGAAGAAGGGAGGCAGTAATTTCATGCACTGGCCAGGGAGGTATACCATCTTTTAAGAGTGAAGAGGAACAGGATGCGAGTGTGGGGGAGGTGCGTGAGGCATTACATAGAATGAAAGGGGGTAAAGCAGCTGGAACTGATGGGATCATGACAGAAATGTTAAAAGCAGGGGGGGATATAGTGTTGGAGTGGTTGGTATTTTTGTTTAATAAATGTATGAAAGAGGGGAAGGTACGTAGGGATTGGCAGAGAGCATGTATAGTCCCTTTATATAAAGGGAAGGGGGACAAAAGAGATTGTAAAAATTATAGAGGAATAAGTTTACTGAGTATACCAGGAAAAGTGTACGGTAGGGTTATAATTGAAAGAATTAGAGGTAAGACAGAATGTAGGATTGCGGATGAGCAAGGAGGTTTTTAGAGTGGGTAGGGGATGTCTAGATCAAGTGTTTACATTGAAGCGTATATATGAACAGTATTTAGATAAAGGTAGGGAAGTTTTTATTGTATTTATGGATTTAGAAAAGGCATATGATAGAGTGGATAGGGGAGCAATGTGGCAGATGTTGCAAGTATATGGAATAGGTGGTGAGTTAGTAAATGCTGTAAAGAGTTTTTATGAGGATAGTGAGGCTCAGGTTAGGGTGTGTAGAAGAGAGGGAGACTACTTCCCAGTAACAGTAGGTCTTAGACAGGGATGTGTAATGTCACCATGGTTGTTTAATGTATTTATAGATGGGGTTGTAAAAGAAGTAAATGCTAGGGTGTTCGGGAGAGGGGTGGGATTAAATTATGGGGAATCAAATCCAAAATGGGAATTGACACAGTTGCTTTTTGCTGATGATACTGTGCTTATGAGAGATTCTAAAGAAAAATTGCAAAGGTTAGTGGACGAGTTTAGGAGTGTGTGTAAAGGTAGAAAGTTGAAAGTGAACATGGAAAAGAGTAAGGTGATGAGGGTATCAAATGATTTAGATAAAGAAAAATTGGATATCAAATTGGGAAGGAGGAGTATGGAAGAAGTGAATGTTTTCAGATACTTGGGAGTTGACGTGTTGGCGGATGGATTTATGAAGGATAAGGTTAATCATAGAATTGATGAGGAAAAAAAGGTGAGTGGTGCATTGAGGTATATGTGGAGACAAAAAAACATTATGTATGGAGGCAAAGAAGGGAATGTATGAAAGTATAGTAGTACCAACACTTATGTGGGTGTGAAACTTGGGTTGTAAATGCAGCAGTGAGGAGGCGGTTGGAGGCAGTGGAGATGTCCTGTCTAAGGGCAGTGTGTGGTGTAAATATTATGCAGAAAATTTGGAGGGTGGAAATTAGGAGAAGGTGTGGAGTTGATAAAAGTATTAGTCAGAGTGCTGAAGAGGGGTTGTTGAGGTGGTTTGGTCATTTAGAGAGAATGGATCAAAGTAGAATGACATGGAGAGCGTATAAATCTGTAGGGGAAGGAAGGCGGGGCAGGGGTCGTCTTCGAAAAGGTTGGAAGGAAGGGGTAAGGGAGGTTTTGTGGGCGAGGGGCTTGGACTTCCAGCAGGCGTGTGTGAGCGTGTTAGATAGGGGTGAATGGAGACGAATGGTATTTGGGACCTGACGATCTGTTGGAGTGTGAGCAGGGTAATATTTAGTGAAGGGATTCAGGGAAACAGGTTATTTTTATATAGCCGGACTTGAGTCCTGGAAATGAGAAGTATAATGCCTGCAATCTAAAGGAGCGGTTCGGGATATTGGCAGTTTGGAGGGATATATTGTGTTTCTTTATACGTATAAGCTTCTAAACTGTTGTATTCTGAGCACCTTTGCAAAAACAGTGATTGTGTGAGTGAGGTGAAAGCGTTGAATGATGATGAAAGTATTTTCTTTTTGGGGATTTTCTTTCTTTTTGGGTCACCCTGCCTTGGTGGGAGATGGCCAATTGTTAAAAAAAAAAAAATGTATATGTATGTTCATACATACAAGTATTTTCCAGAGAGGTTTTTGATGTGGTTTAGATATTTAGAGAGGATAAAAGAAAACAGAATGACTTAGAGGGCATGTAAATCTATAGTGGAAAGAAGGTGGGGTAAGGGTCTTCCTAGGATAACTTGGAGGGAGAGTGTAAAGGAAGTTTTGTGTGCAAGGGGCTTGGACTTCCAGCGAGCGTGCATGAGCATATTAGATAGGAGTGAGTGGAGGCAAATGGTTTTTATGACCTGACATGTTGTTGGAGTCTAAGCAAAGTTATTCTTATGAAGGGATTCAAAGAAACCTGTTAACCAGGCTTGAGTTCAGGAGGTGGGAAGTACAGTGTCTGCACTCTGAAGGAGGGGTGGAGATATGTTGTAGTTTTTTGCTAGTGGTAAGACAGTGATGATGAAAGTATTTCTTCTTTTTCGGGTCACCCTGCATTGGTGGGAAACAGCTGTTGTGTTAAAAAAAAAAGAACAAAAAATTCCCAGTTTGTTTGTGTGGATATTTCTAACTTGAGGTACCTATTCAAACCCTGTTTAAGATGAAACGTGCAAGTTAATTTTTAATAATTTTGAATGAAGAAAATATTGTATTGTCATTTGTATATCCTCATTCTCGTATCATTTCATGATTCCAAACTTATTGAAAGTTCAAGGATTTTTTTTTAATTTTTGTATTTTTGATATTTGTTAATGAAGAGCTAATATGCTTCTTCATACATTGTATTATTACAAAAACTAACTTTACAGAGCATCATCTTCTATGTGGTACGCTCAACAAAGCTCAAGGAATGGTTAGAAAAATCAGAAATAGACGCTTCCTTATCTCATACTCGTGATAAAAAGTTTGTGGACTTAGATCCCATCTTTAATTTAAACATAGATGAAGACTACGACTTTAAGGAGTCTGGCATCACAAGGACGAGTTTCTGCAACGTTTATCACGAGTGGATTGTGTACTGTGTGACAAGGAAAGATAGAAACAACCAGGAACACATTGAGAGTAGCAGAGAGTCGCAACTCATATCCTTGTGCTTGGCTCTCAGCCTGTTAGGTAAGCTTTTCATTTGTGCCCTTGAAATGGAGGTTGCTCAATTTGAGAATTTTATTTCTTTATTTTCTGTACAAAATTCACTTTGATTAAAAAATCAGATGATTAAGCTTTAGGTGCTAAAAGTTTTCAAATATTATTGAATACAGTGGTTGATGTTTTTGATTGGAAGTATAAATCACATAATTCGTCCACAATGACTGATCTTGTACAGTGGACCCCCGGTTAACGATATTTTTTCACTCAAGAAGTATGTTCAGGTGCCAGTACTGACCGAATTTGTTCCCATAAGGAATATTGTGAAGTAGATTAGTCCATTTCAGACCCCTAAACATACACGTACAAACGCACTTACATAAATACACTTACATAATTGGTCGCATTCGGAGGTGATCGTTATGCGGGGGTCCACTGTATATGAAAAATAGAAAACATAGAACCCAAGCTATGCAATGAGATAGTGGAGGATTTCAAATGAGATAGGTCTCATTATGGCTTAAAGGGGTAGCTCATGTTTGGATAAGACTTTATTTTTTATTTTTTTGGTCACCTACAAAGGAAGTTGTTGGAGAAGCTAGGCATCATAGACATAAACAGGCAGAACTAAAAAAAATTCACTAAAAGTTTCTAAAATTTATGGCTCTTTAGATTATAACTGAGTGTGTGTGTGTGTGTGTGTGTCATTACAACAAGTGCTATAATACCTCCCATTATTGTTGTTAACAGTGGTATCTCATCCTCTTATTAATGTATGTAGTATGTTTTTATAAAAGACATCTGTTAAATGCTTGTGCTCAAATCCATGATATTTGTTGCAAACTTTTTGATTCCTTTCTCTGCGATAATTTTATGTTTACATTTCATGCTAGTGTAAACTTTTGTTTGCTTCTGAACCACCTGTGTAATTTTACCTACAGGTAGACGAGCTTTAGGTGCTGCCTCACACAACGCCATGTCAAGTGTTGACTTCTTTCTGCACGGCCTTCATGCACTCTTTAAGGGTGACTTTCGTATTACCTCTATGAGGGATGAGTGGGTGTTCTCAGATATGGAGTTACTAAGAAAGGTGGTTGCACCTGGGGTTAGAATGAGCCTTAAGCTCCATCAGGTAAGGATACCATTGCTTTTAAATCTTTTTGTACATCTACATCAAAACCAGTTTTCAAGTACAGTGGTTCATGCAGTATTTTGTATGTATGTCCATATTGTTGCACACTTCCCAATACAGTGGACCCCCGCATAGCGATATTAATCCGTGCAAGAGAGCTCATTGTTATGCGAAATTATCGTTATGCGAATGAATTTTCCCCATAAGAAATAATGGAAATCAAATTAATCCGTGCGACACCCAAAAGTATGAAAAAAAAAATTTACCACATGAAATATACATTTTCCTACACAAAGAGAAGGATACATGCACAATAGTAGAGTAGTACATGCACAATATATATTGTGCATGTACTATTCTACTAAATGAAGAATAAATGACACTTACCTTTATTGAAGATGCAGCAATGACTGATGAGACACTGTGTCCTGGGAGTGCCTTTTCCTCCTGAGTACTGTAGGTCCTGTTTGGCATTTTCTTCCGGAACAGGCCTTATCACACTGTGTATGCCACTACGATTCTTAAATCTCTCAAACCAACCTTTGCTGGCTTTAAATTCACCAATATGAGCACTAGTTCCAGGCATTTTTTCCTGTTCACCTGGGTGTTAGTCGACTGGTGCGGGTTGCATCCTAGGAGACAAGATTAAGGACCCCAATGGAAATAAGTTAGACAGTCTTCGATGACACTGACTTTTTTGGGTTATCCTGGGTGGCAAATCCTCTGGGGTTAATTGTTTCTTGGTATTCTCAATAAGCCACACCAACAATGGTGCTACAGCAGCAGCAGCAGCAGCTGACAGTGCTACAACAGCAGCAGCAGCTGACAGTGGTACAGCAGCAGCAGACGATGCTACAGCAGCAGCAGACGATGCTACAGCAGCAGCAGACAGTACTACAGCAGCAGCAGCAGCTGACGGTGGTACAGCAGCAGCAGCAGCTGACAGTGCTACAGCAGCAGCAGACGGTGCTACAGCAGCAGCAGACGATGCTACAGCAGCAGCAGACGATGCTACAGCAGCAGCAGACGGTACTGCAGCAGCAGCAGACGGTACTACAACAGCAGCTGACGGTGGTACAACAGCAGCAGCAGCTGACAGTGCTACAGCAGCAGCAGACGGTACTACAGCAGCAGCAGCAGCTGTACCACCAATAGTAGCGATGGTTGATTGGGGTTTATTATACAACCTGGCCAGCTCGGAGACACGCACTCCACTTTCATACTTATTAATGATCTTTTTCTTCATCTCTATAGTAATTCTCACCCTTATTGCTGTAGGGTTGGCACTAGAAGCTTTCTTGGGGCCCATGGTCACTTATTTTGCAGATAAAATCACCAAAAACACTGTAATAATACGAAATGTTCCGATTGTATGCTTAGATGTTACCGCGGAGGCTGGCTGGTAAACAATGCCACCGGCGGAACATGTGAGGCTGGATAAGGGCGCACATTAGACGCGTCTCGGATGAACAGTGTTGAGCGGGTTTTTTTTGCGGTATGCGAGGCAAAATCTTGGCGATAAAATGTAGCGGTATGCGGATTTAACGTTATGCGAGGCCAACGGTATGCGGGGGTCCACTGTACATATCCATGCTAGAAACCCTATAGCTTGTGGTAGTCCACTTGGATTTATACATTTTTTTTTTTTTCAACAAGTCAGCCGTTTCCCACCGAGGCAGGGTGACCCAAAAAAGAAAGAAAATCCCCAAAAAGAAAATACTTTCATCATCATTCAACACTTTCACCACACTCACACATTATCACTGTTTTTGCAGAGGTGCTCAGAATACAACAGTTTAGAAGCGTATACGTATAAAGATACACAACATATCCCTCCAAACTACCAATATCCCAAACCCCTCCTTTAAAGTGCAGGCATTGTACTTCCCATTTCCAGGACTCAAGTCTGACTATATGAAAATAACCGGTTTCCCTGAATCCCTTCACTAAATATTACCTGCTCACACTCCAACAGATCGTCAGGTCCCAAGTATCATTTGTCTCCATTCACTCCTATCTAACACGCTCATGCATGCTTGCTGGAAGTCCAGGTCCCTCGCCCACAAAACTTTCTTTACCCCCTCTTTCCAACCCTTTCGAGGATGACCCCTACCCCTCCTTCCTTCCCCTATAGATTTATATGCTTTCCATGTCATTCTACTTTGATCCATTCTCTCTAAATGACCAAACCACCTCAACAACCCCTCTTCTGCCCTCTGACTAATGCTTTTATTAACTCCACACCTTCTTCTAATTTCCACACTCCGAATTTTCTGCATAATATTTACACCACACATTGCCCTTAGACAGGACATCTCCACTGCCTCCAACCGTCTCCTCACTGCTGCATTTACCACCCAAGCTTCACATCCATATAAGAGTGTTGGTACTACTATACTTTCATACATTCCCTTCTTTGCCTCCATAGATAATGTTTTTTGACTCCACATATACCTCAACGCACCACTTACCTTTTTTCCCTCATCAATTCTATGATTAACCTCATCCTTCATAAATCCATCCGCCGACACGTCAACTCCCAAGTATCTGAAAACATTCACTTCTTCCATACTCCTCCTCCCCAATTTGATATCCAATTTTTCTTTATCTAAATCATTTGACACCCTCATCACCTTACTCTTTTCTATGTTCACTTTCAACTTTCTACCTTTACACACATTCCCAAACTCATCCACTAACCTTTGCAATTTTTCTTTAGAATCTCCCATAAGCACAGTATCATCAGCAAAAAGTAACTGTGTCAATTCCCATTTTGAATTTGATTCCCCATAATTTAACCCCACCCCTCTCCCGAACACCCTAGCATTTACTTCTTTTACAACCCCATCTATAAATATATTAAACAACCATGGTGACATTACACATCCCTGTCTAAGACCTACTTTTACCGGGAAGTATTTTCCCTCTCTTCTACACACCCTAACCTGAGCCTCACTATCCTCATAAAAACTCTTAACAGCATTTAGTAACTTACCACCTATTCCATATACTTGCAACATCTGCCACATTGCTCCTCTATCCACTCTATCATATGCCTTTTCTAAATCCATAAATGCAATAAAAACTTCCCTACCTTTATCTAAATACTGTTCACATATATGCTTCAATGTAAACACTTGATCTACACATCCCCTACCCACTCTGAAGCCTCCCTGCTCATCCGCAATCCTACATTCTGTCTTACCTCTAATTCTTTCAATTATAACCCTACCGTATACTTTTCCTGGTATACTCAGTAAACTTATTCCTCTATAATTTTTACAATCTCTTTTGTCCACTTTCCCTTTATATAAAGGGACTATACATGCTCTCCGCCAATCCCTAGGTACCTTCCCCTCTTTCATACATTTATTAAAGAAAAGTACCAACCACTCCAACACTATATCCCCCCCTGCTTTTAACATTTCTGTCATGATCCCATCAGTTCCAGCTGCTTTACCCCCTTTCATTCTACATAATGCCTCACGTACTTCCACCACACTTACATTCTGCTCTTCTTCACTCCTAAAAGATGGTATACCTTCCTGGCCAGTGCATGAAATTACCGCCTCCCTTTCTTCCTCAACATTTAAAAGTTCCTCAAAATATTCTCGCCATCTACCTAATACCTCCCTCTCCCCATCTACTAACTCCCCTACTCTGTTTTTAACTGACAAATCCATACTTTCCCTAGGCTTTCTTAACTTGTTTAACTCACTCCAAAATTTTTTCTTATTTTCATTAAAATTTCTTGACAGTGCCTCTCCCACTCTATCATCTGCTCTCCTTTTGCACTCTCTCACCACTCTCTTCACCTTTCTTTTACTCTCCATATACTCTGCTCTTCTTATAACACTTCTGCTTTGTAAAAACCTCTCATAAGCTACCTTTTTCTCTTTTATCACACCCTTTACTTCATCATTCCACCAGTCACTCCTCTTTCCTCCTGCCCCCACCCTCCTATAACCACAAACTTCTGCCCCATATTCTAATACTGCATTTTTAAAACTATTCCAACCCTCTTCAACCCCCCCCACTACTCATCTTTGCACTAGCCCACCTTTCTGCCAATAGTCGCTTATATCTCACCCGAGATTATATTTTATTATATTTTATTATACAAGTTCAAGAGGAGGATGACAAAGATGATCCCATGTATCAGAAATCTTCCCTATGAGGATAGACTGAGGGCCCTGAATCTGCACTCTCTCGAAAGGCGTAGAATTAGGGGGGGATATGATCGAGGTGTATAAATGGAAAACAGGAATAAATAAAGGGGATGTAAATAGCGTGCTGAAAATTTCCAGCCAAGACCGGACTCGCAACAATGGTTTCAAGTTAGAAAAATTCAGATTCTAGGAAAGCACTGGTTTGGTAATAGAGTTGTGGATGAGTGGAATAAACTCCCGAGTACAGTTATTCAGGCTAAAACGCTGTGTAGTTTTAAAAATAGGCTCGATAAATACATGAGTGGGTGTGGGTGGGTGTGAGTTGGACCTGACTAGCTTGTGCTGCTGGGTCTGGTGCTGTGCTCCTTCCTTGAGTGGAGGTGACCAAACTGGGTGGGTCATTGGGCTAATCCGGGGTGGGTGGGTCATTGGGCTAATCCGGGGTGGGTGGGTCATTGGGCTAATCCGGGGTGGGTGGGTCATGGGTTAATCGGGGGGGGGGGGGGGACATGGACCTGCTCCACATGGGTCAGTTGGCCTGTTGCAGTGTTCCTTCTTTCTTATGTTCTTATGTTCTTATTTCAGGACCATTTTATGCTACCTGATGAGTATGACAACCATGAGTCCCTATACAATGCCATCCTGGAGCATGAAGCCCACCTAGTCATATCACATGAAGGTGACCCAACCTGGCGTAATGCTGTGCTCTCTGGCAAGCCTTCTTTGCTGGCCCTCAGGTGAGTGTGCAGAGTTTGGGTGTATTTTTCGAAGGTAATATCCTGTGGGCATTTAGGATATTCTGAGTTTTTGTTAATATAGAATAACAAACACTGTTCAGTTAACCCCCAACTTAATGACTTAGAGACCAAAGAAATGGCCCATTCTGCAAAAAATAGTAGTTTATATTTTTTAACATTAATGATGGAGGCAAAGAAGGGAATGTACGAGAGTATAGTGGTACCAACACTCTTATATTAGGTGTGAAGCATGGGTTGTGAATGCTGCAGTGAGGAGGAGGCTGGAGGCAGTGATGTGTCTAAAGGCAGTGTGTGGTGCAAATATGTGGAAATTAGGAGGAGGTGTGAAGTTACAAAAACTATTATTCAGAAGGCTGAAGAGAGGTTATTGAGGTGGTTTGGTCATTTAGAGAGGTTGGAGAAAAATAGAATGACTTAAAGGGTGTATAAATCTGTAGTGGAAGGGAGGAGGGGTAGGGGTTGTCCTAGGAAAGGCTGGAAGGAGGGAGTAAAAGAGGTTTTGTGGGCAAGGGGTCTGGACATGCAGTAGGCATGTGTGTGTTAGATAGGAGTGAATGGAGATGAATAGTTTTTGGGACCTGATGAGCTGTTGGAGTGTGAGCAGGGTAATATTTTGTGAAGGGATTCAGAGAAACCGGTTAGCTGGACTTGAGTCCTGAAGGTGGGAAGTACAATGCCTGCACTTTAAGGGAAGGATTTGGGATATTAGCTATTTGGAGTGACATCTGAACTGTCATATCTGGGCATCTCTGCAGAGACAGTGATTATGTGTGAATGATGATGAAAGGGTTTCTTTCTTTTTTGGGTCACCTTATCTCAGTGAGAGACGGCCAACGTGTTAAAAAAAAATTATTTTATAATGAGCAGTTGATTTTTTAAGCACACACTGGCTGTCTTCTACCAAGATAGGGGGGATTTAACAAGAAAGCACTTTCAGTGTCACTCGTTCAGTCAATGTTTTGCCAGAAGGGTGCTGACATTGTAGAGGATTAAACTACAATTTTGAATATTGCAGAATTATATTTTGGTGAAGTTTATAGAAAGAGGGTAATGGAATGATCCTCTACCATTTTGTGACATAGTTTAGTTTTTTATTTAGATCCTTTTTATAGTAAATAGTTCACTTTTGTATAGAAGTCTGATCATACATTTTCCTAATTTTTTTTTTTTTTAATTTTCTTATTTACAGGCATGTTATGGATGATGGTGCTGATGAATACAAAATTATAATGCTTAATAAAAGGCATTTATCCTTCCGAGTAATCAAGGTGAACCGTGAGTGTGTGCGGGGCCTCTGGGCAGGACAGCAGCAAGAGCTAGTGTATCTTCGTAATAGGAATCCAGAGAGAGGATCTATCCAAAATGCCAAGCAAGCTCTACGTAATATCATTAATTCATCTTGTGATCAGCCCATTGGCTATCCAATATATGTGTCACCCCTCACGACCTCCTATGCTGACACTAACGAGCAGATAAAAGGTGTTAGTGGTGGTCCCATCAGCCTGACGCTTATCAAAGAAACAATTATTAATGTTTGGAAAAGGTAAGATGCCTGTTAGTTTTTGTTTGCTTTGTTTCCAACACTTTTAATTTGATATTTGCGGTAATTTGAGTAGTACATGTTTATACTCGTTGACTTGTCAGCAGATGGGTTTATGAAGAATAAGGTTAACAAATAACCCGCACATAAAAGAGAGACACTTACGACGGCGTTTCGGTCCGACTTGGACCATTTACAAAGTCACACTAACCAGAAGTGGAGCAGGACGGCTATATATAGGCAGGAAGAGGTGGTGGTGGTAGTAGTAGTACAAGAATGGTATATAATACCGACAAGATGAAATTAAGACACATGTGCAACACCCGGGCATCTCTATCGTAGATGTTTCGCCATCCAGCCAGCCACTGTATGGCGAAACGTCCACAACAAAGACACCCAGACGCCGCACATGTGTCTTAATTTCATCAGTAGTAGTAGTAGAAGAAGAGGTAGTAGTAGTGGTAGTGGTAGAAGTGGGGAATAAGGAGGACGAGCCGACAGGCTTGCCGACACTAACAATGCTCTTTTCTGTCACGTCAGAGATCATAGCCATCCTATTGACTGGTCTTCTGCTAAAACTGTCTTCCCTACTTCCAACTCGAACAGTCGCCGTCTAGTTGAATCCTCTCTAATACACAACTTTCCTTGTATGAATCTTAGCCCTGGATTCGTCTCTGTAGATGCCTTCCTCTCCCACTACATTGTAAAATGCTCCAAACTTCAGAACACCCGTGACTTAACCTGACTCCTCATTTTTTCTTTTTCTTTTTCTTCTTCTCCCTCTTCCCCTTTCCTCTTTCCTTTTTCTCATCTGGGTTGTCTTTCTCTCTTCTGTCTCGTGTTTCTGTTCCTTCATTTATTTCACCACTTCCCCTTTCACGCACCTCTGTGCGCTTGCTCTCCCACTGTGGGCACCTAGCTCCCTTGCAGTGCTCCCCTTCCTTTGTATTTGACTGGCTCGTCCTCCTTATTCCCCACTTCTACCACTACTACTACCTCTTCTACTACTACTACTGATGAAATTAAGACACATGTGCGGTGTCTGGGTGTCTTTGTTGTGGACGTTTCGCCATCCAGTGGCTGGCTGGATGGCGAAACATCTACGATAGAGATGCCCGGGTGTTGTGCATGCGTCTTAATTTCATCTTGTCGGTATTATATACCATTCTTGTACTACTACTACTACCACCACCTCTTCCTGCCTATATATAGCCATCCTGCTCCACTTCTGGTTAGTGTGACTTTGTAAATGGTCAAAGTCGGACCGAAACGTCGTCGTAAGCGTCTCTCTTTTATGTGCAGGTTATTTGTGTATCGTTCCAGTCATGGTATTGTGCCTTTTTTTTTGTTATTAATAAGGTTAACCATAGAATTGATGAAGAAAAAAAAGGTGAGTGGTGTGTTGAGGTATCTGTGGAGACAAAAAATGTTATCCATGGAGGCAAAGAAGGGAATGTATGAGAGTATAGTGGTACCAACACTTACATGTTTGCAGCATGAGTTGTAAATGCTGCACCGAGGAGGAGGCTGGAGACAGTGGAATGTTGTGTCTCAGGGCAGTGTGTGGTGTAAATATTAAGCAGAGAATTCATTGTGTGGAAATTTGATGAAGGTGTGGAGTTACTAAAAGTATTAGTCAGATGGCTGAAGAGGGGTTGTTGAGGTGGTTTGGTCATTTAGTGAGAATTAAACAAAGTAGAATGACATGGAGAGCATATAAATCTGTAGGAAAAGGAGGGCAGGGTAGGGGTCATTCTCGAAAAGGTTAGAGGGAAGCGAGGGTCTTGGACTTCCAGCAAGTGTGTGTGAGCGTGTTAGATAGGAGTGTATGGAGATGAATGGTTTTTGGGACCTGACGAGCTGTTAGAGTGTGAGGAGGCTAATATTTTGTGAAGGGATTCAGGGAAACCAGTTAGCCGGACTCGAGTCCTGGAAATGGGAAGTACAATGCCTGCGCTTTAGAGGAGGGGTTTGGGATATTAGCAGTTTTGGAGGGACATCTAAACTGTCATATTGGAGCATCTCTGCAAAGACAGTGATTATGTATGACTGATGGTGAAAATGTTGAATGATGATGAAAGTTTTTTCTTTATGGATTTTTCTTTCTTTTTGGGTCACCCTGCCTCAGTGGGAAATGGCTGATGTGTTAAAAAAAAAAACAAATTTCTTTTGTATCCCGTCGGCCATTTTCCATAGAGGCAGGGTGACCCAAAAAGAAAGAAAAAACTTTCATCACTCAACACTTTCACTGCCACTTGTACATAATCACTGTCTTTGCAGAAGTGCTCAGATATTTATACTAGTATAAAGTCTGACCCCAGAATTCATGGTAGGATAATTGTAGTTATTCTTTAGTTTGAATGTAACATCTGTCTATTAACCTATAGTAAATATGGAGTATATGGACTTTCGTAATGGTGTTTCACAAAGGACAAGATGCAAAGATCACCTTGGTGGACAGTGGGAGAATGTTTATTCAGATTATAAATTTTCTGGATATTTTGATTATAAATATGGATACAGTATTTGGGAATATTGTATATGTATTGATAGAAGTTACCCATGTTGCTGTCAAAGAGTGCGAGAGAGATGCGGTGAAGGCTGCTCCAGTGGCAGCTCTGGATTAAATGACGAGTGTGGTCGAGCTGTTGACCCTCATCATGGCAACATTCCACTTCACCAAGGTAATGATATTATCAGTTTGTCTACATTTTTTGTCTTAAATTTTTATTGTACTTGTATGTATTCAGTCATCTGGACATGTCTCTCTTCTGTATTTGTGACTGGATTTGCAATCCCCTTTAGTAATTTGTCTTTTTCTCTGCTGCTCTTTTAATCTTAATTAAACTTTTCTTCCATGTGTAATTCTTTCTGTATTTTAGCTGTTTCTAACTCAAGAAGAAAGGCTTAATTGTGCTTCATTGTTAATACTGCTTGAAACTTTTTTCTGTGGGTAGTGATGCTTGAGTCTTTTTGTCACATATTTATATTCTCTACTTTCTGTGAAATTGGAAAAATCATTTGAACCCATTACAACCAACAAATCAGTAAGTAGTTAATGACCCGAATTCCTCAAGCAAATCGCTTACTAAAATCAAGTTCAATACAAAGACTGTCTTGCAAGCACTCAAACTTCATTCTGTGAAGTTATTGGGTGTTCATTCATTACTAAAATATGGTAGAGTAATGTCTTTCATCAAATATACATAAGCTAAGTATAAATAGTGCTTGCTTTAAAAAGAGAATTATTGTATTTTGCTTGAAATCAGTGTTTAGAGAAAGATGAGCTTAACCATTTTCACAGCATTTGTACTGCTGTGTCATTCTCAAATTGTCTATTAGCTTCTCTCCTCACTAGCATATTCATTTCTAGTCCATCTGCTTACTTCTCTGTTCTTGTCTGTGATTTCTTTCTGCATTTTTTCCCAATCCTTCACTTTTCTATTTTTTGCCTCCCTTCATTCCTTGTTAAACCAAGGGTTTTCTTTGTTGTTGTTTCTGCAGCATCATCATCATGGTATAAAAGTCTTCTCAGCTTCCCTGCATGTTCCATCTAGGTACTCCATTATCTCATTCACTGATCTGGCTTCCAATTCACCATCCCAATCCATGGCATCTGGAAGTCTTTCAACCCCTCAAAATGTTCCCTTCTCAAGTTTGGCTTTTCAAGCTCTCTACCTACTGTATGCGAGTGAGAATTTGCTGATGTCTATATATATACATTTTATTTTTATTTTTTATTAACACCAAGGCAGGGTGGCCCAAAAAAGAAAAGCTTTCATCATCATTCACTCAGTCACTGTCTTGCCAGAAGGGTGCTTTACACTTCAGTTATAAGACTGCAACAGTAACACCCTTCCTTCAGAGTGCAGACACTGTACTTCCCATCTCCAGGACTATTCACTTCAAGAGCATGTCAAGTATTAAAAACCATTTGTCTCCATTCACTCCTATCAAATACGCTCACGCATGCTTGCTGGAAGTCCAAGCCCCTTGCACACAAAACCTTTACCCCCTCCCTCCAACCTTTCCTCGGCCGACCCCTACCCCACCTTCCCTCCACTACAGATTTATACACACTTGAAGTCATTCTGTTACATTCCATTCTCTCTACATGTCAGAACCACCTCAACAACTCCTCCTCAGCCCTCTGGATAATAGTTTTGGTTATCCCGCACCTCCTCCTAATTTCCAAACTATGAATTCTCTGCATTTTATTCACACCACACATTGCCCCGGACATGACATCTCCGCTGCCTCCAGCCTTCTCCTCGTTGCAACATTCACCATCCATGCTTCACACTCAGATAGGAGTGTTGGTATAACTATACTCTCATCCAACGAATTGAAGCTGCCCTCCCTTTCTCTGGATCAAACCTGACTTACTGTAATTCCTAGGTTCTGTATGGTTCCTACATGAATATAATACTAAAAAATTCCCATAAATCTAAAGTCAAATAGATTTTTTTTTTCAGTGATAATGTGTGAGTGTGGTGAAAGTGTTGAATGATGATGAAAGTATTTTCTTTTTTGGGGATTTTCTTTCTTTTTTGGGTCACCCTGCCTCGGTGGGAGACGGCCGACTTGTTAAAAAAAAAAAAATTATTGAATGAGTTGGTTTATGTATCATACTTAGTTTCCTTTATCACCATGTTTATATTTTCAGAAAATAAATTTTTGCATTGTAAAAGATGAATTATTTTTTTCTTTCAGTTTTAACTACTGTTCCTGCAAGTTTAGGATCTGGTGGTAGTCAAGATGGCTCCCAGGTTGGAGGTCTGAGCTTGGTAACAGCTACAGGAAGTTTAGGTCATGGAAGTCTAGGACGTGGTGGTTCACTCTCCCGTGGCTCACTGCATGCCAACCGTGGTTCGATTGTTTCAACTGTTTCCTCATTAGTAGGCCCTGCAAATAAACAGTCGACTTCTACATTAGCAAGTTTGGCTGGTCTTCTCTCTGACACTACAGCTGGACTTTCACGGCTAGATCCAAGGGACAGGGATGGGATGAGTGAGGGGTCAGCTAGTAGCAAAGATCGGGACTGGAGTGGCCGAGATGTTTCTCTGCATAGTGGGAGAGATGGAGGCTCAATTCACAGTGGCCGTGAGGGCTCTCTCCACAGTGGTAGAGAAGGATCTTTACATAGTGGAAGAGACGTATCTCTCCACAGCGGACGTGATGGTTCCCTCCCAGGCGGGGAGAAGCGAGTTCGTCAGGGATTATCAGCAAGCAGCCGAAGCACTCCTACATCATCACTCTCTACTCCTGCCAGGGATGCACCAGCAGTGCCAGTTGTGATGGGGTCCAGGGACTCTCACTTGCGAGATGCAAGCTGGGATGCTTCAAGCTTGAGAGAGGACTGTGGCACCTTGCATGAGGAAAGCGAAGAAAAATTTACCACTCCTCCTCCGCCAGACAAGCATGTACAGCGAGTTCGGGTAAGAACCTTACAGGGTACATGTATCCTGTCTTTCAGAAAGTTGTAGCTAAGTGTAACAAGAGTGTAAGGGGGTCGTTCACTACTGTCTTGACCACTGCTAGTTACTGAGTTATTTTGCTGAAATTTTCTCTGTATCGGTACTTCCTGGAGGTAGTACTGATATACACTGATACTGTTGGCTTATTTTAAATGAATATACAAGTACATGTACTGAATGTCATTCATGTTTAGTATGTATATTGTCCCATCATTTTATATAGAAATAATTAACAAAGTAAATATCCTTTAGCAAATATGCATCACATTATATACACCTTTTTGGATGTTCAGAAATTGTCTTGGTTTGGTTTTGTATATGGCTGTGCTTTGCCTCTAAAAAGAATATAAGCATAGTAGATTTTATACATATTACTGTAGATGGCTTCAGTTCTCTCGTGAAGAAAGATGTTATAATGAATTTGGCTGGATATTGCAAAATATTACTTCCTTAATCTCGCAAGGAAGGCTCTTGACATTGGTGAGGGGATCTTGATGCAAGAAATCAGACTTGTCCTCTTCCTGGGATCAAACTTTATTACCTCTCATTCCTCAAACATTGTATGACCCCTACAAGTTTAACATTTCTCTTAAATATAATAATAATACTGTAATTACTTCCTCTATGTCACAGACTATTAGAATATATCAGTGTTACTGCATTCTTTTAAATTTAAAATTTCATTATCAGACCAGTAAAAATTAAAAGGTGATGTGGGGTAACCTCAAGTGGGCTGATGAGGGGTTGTTGAGGTGGTTTGGGCATGTAGAGAGGGTGAAGAGGGAGGGGTTGGGATTATCCCAGGAATGAGAGTACAAAGGGAATTAGAGGATTTGTATTGTAGGGCCTTGAGCATCTGGTAAGTTTGTGTGAGCATGTTAAGTAGGGGTGAATGGCAACAAGTTGTTTTTAATTAATGTGCTGTTGGAGTGTGAGTAAAGTAACTACTATGAAGGAATTCAGAGAAACTGGTTAAATGGACTTGTATCCTGGAGGTAGGAAGGGCAGTGCCTGCACCCTGGAGGGTGGGTATAATGCAGTCAGCTGTTGAGATAAAAACAAGGAAAATTATTTTTAATTTCTAAATAGTCTTCATAGCCCATGCATATTTTTGCATGAAACTAATACAGACCAGTACCCAGTATTGTGGTGGATCAATGTTCTCATAGAGCTATTTGTGTGAATGAAATTTTTCATTAAATACAATAAGTATGAATGCTATTGCTCCCTTAATTTTTGTAATTTCTCATTCATATTTAGCATATAGGTTGTTAATTTACAATGAATGACACAATTTGGAGAGGAAACCTTAGATATTTTGGATTGTCCTGGTAGCTGAATGTCAACACACTGATTGCTTACCCTGAAAGGCATTCCATGTTCTGTTTTTTCTATCTGCTTCATGAAGAGGGGAGGAGAAAGCCAAGGTAGGTCAATTTGTGTCTTCAAGATTAGGGAATTTAGCAGTGTTCTGGGGAAGTCAAGCATCAACAAAAATAAAACTGGGATAAAGATTTGTTACTATTGAAGCACAAAACACATCCATATGCTATTTAATTTCACTTATTAGAATTCAAAATTTTTATAAATTAGTCTAGAATTTGCCATTATTTTATATACAGTACTGTAAACAAACATGAGATTTCTTTCTGACATTATAATTTTTAAAATCTCAAAGATTTATTGTTACTTTTAATGAAGTGATTTTTATTTATTAGAAAGCATTTTATAGCTCATTTATTTCTGCTTAAAAGAAAGGTGCAGTATTCACTCTAAATATGAATGATACATGGTGAAATTGTAAGAAGTAAAAATTAGGTATTTCCAGAAAGAAATTCCTTTTTTTTTTTTTTTTTTTTTTTTAACTTCTCCCTTCAAGGTTATCATGAGAAAGCCTTTTCTGCTCAGCTTCAAGCTTTCACAGCTCTGGTGTATCCTACACAGAGGGCTTTGTAGGTACCACTCTGTCATTTTTATAAATAACAATGTAATGGATTCTGTATGATACCTTGAGAATGCCTCTTTTGATTGACTTCTTTAAATTGATGTATCTCTCATAAAGTAGGCTCAGATTGTTATTGGGCTGTGTAGGGTGCCAAGTTGAAATTTTTATTTTAAAAGTTTGTTTTACAATCACCCCTCAGTTTCTAAACATTCTCCAAGTCTAGAATCCATGAATAATATAAAATTGTCTGTATTGTCAGTATTTCAGGTTTGGGCTCATTTTGCATTTCAGAGGCTCTCTCTCTAAATATTTGGTTAATATTGACATTAATTAGAAAGAAGGAAATTTGTTCATATAAAGCCTTTGAGCATATTTTGAATGATAGTTTGTGAATTCTCAATTAAGGGACTATGTATCAAGCCCCCAAAAATAGTTTTTTAACACATCGGCCATTTCCCACCAAGGTAGGGTGGCCCGCAAAAGAAGAACTTTCGCTATCATTCACTCCATTACTGTCTTGGCAGAGGCATGCTTACACTACAGTTATAAAACTGCAACATTAACACCCCTCCTTCAGAGTGCTGGCACTGTACTTCCCATCTCCAGGACTCAAGTCTGCCCTGCCGGTTTCCCTGAAGCCTTTCATAAATATTACCCTGCTCACACTCCAACAGCACGTCAAGTCCTAAAAACCATTTGTCTCCATTCACTCCTATCAAACACGCTCACGCATGCTTGCTGGAAGTCCAAGCCTTTCGCACACAAAACCTCCTTTACCCCCTCCCTCCAACCTTTCCTAGGCCAACCTCTACCCTGCCTTCCCTCCACTACAGATTTATGCACTCAAAGTTATTCTGTTTTGTTTCATTCTGTCTACATGTCCAAACCACCTCTCCTCAACCCTCTGGATAATAGTTTTAGTAATCCTGCACCTCCTCCTAATTTCCAAACTACAAATTCTCTGTGTTATATTCACACCACACGTTGCCCTCAGACATGACAACTCCACTGGCTCCAGTCTTTTCCTTGTTGCAACATTCGCTTAACACCCATATAAGAGCGTTGGTATAACTATACTCTCATACATTTCCCTCTTTGCTTCCATGGACATAGTTCTTTGTCTCCATAGAATTCTCAGTGCACCACTCGCCTTTTTTCCCTGTCAATTCTATGATTCACCTCATCTTTCATAGACCCATCTGTTGACACATCCACTCCTAAACATCTGAATATGTACATTCACCTCTTCCATACTCTCTCCTACCAACATGATATCCAATCTTTCATTACCTAACTTTTTTGTTATCCTCATCACCTTACTGTTAAAAATTTCTATGAAAAAAATAAAATGAATACTTGAATTATGCAAATTAGGAATCCGTGAATATGGAGCCAGATTGTATGTTGTGTGCAATAACTTAAGAGTTTGTCTTCTTAAAGTCTTCAAACTTATAATGTTCATGGAAGGTTCAGGATAATATCTTGCTGTATGGGTGCATATTTGTAACTTATGAATTGAAAAATATGGGGATTATTGGTATCTGTGCAGTAGTTGATGAATACCTTTTCTAAGCAGCTTCACACCTTGAAGGCTGGTATATGTATCTTATCCCAAGAAAGGTTTAGATTTGCCAGTTTTTTGAGTGTAATGCAGGGGGAGGGTGGTGGCTGGAAGGTCCACTGACAACTGTATATAAACAACTAATCCATACCACATCCTCATTTTTATCTTCAGTGTGGTAAGTTCTTGTTTGTTTGGTATAACTTATAAAGAAATATGGATTTTAAAATTATGATGTCTTCCTGACACTACTTCCCACATTTTTCTGATAATATTTTTCTTATCTTTAATTTCATCAACTGCATTTATCTTTGGTATATGTTTATTCAGTGTAGGTGTCATAAATTCCTATTTATTTGGTAAAGTTTGATAAAGTGAATCTTTAAATTTCAGTTGTGCTTGAACAAAATGTTCATTTGTGAGGACAAAATTTTGTACTTGCAAATTTTTAGTTTTGCAGTATCTCTAGAAATGTGACCCCTTGCAGATTTGTAGGTATGACTATCTGAAAAGAGAGCTTATATTTTGGTGAAATTGTGAAGAAAACATGCAAGAATATGAAGGGTAACTTGTTGTGGCATACAGATGAAGAAGCTTATTGTAGTCTTCCCATTTTAAATGTCTTGGATGCTTTCTTTTTCCTGGGAATTCCTGTGCCTTGTAAAGATAGATGTAGAACAGCATTTTCTCAGTTTTATGCAACTCTCCATGGGGATTGTGAGTAGGGTAAACTTTAAACAATTAAATTACCTGAGAAACACTAGTGTACAGTGTTCTCCAGACATTCAGTCATCCAAGAGAGAAAAGAGAGTGAGCTTGATTCATTTGTTGAAGACTTCCACTTGCTAGTATAGACATCCTGCCTACAAATGTCTCGTGTTATACACTTCTTCAGTATGCCTACAATGTACTTACAAATCATAGTTTAACAATTGCCAAGCCAGTGAAGGAAAATGTTAAACATGACCCTTTTTTGTACTATTGTTTTCTAAACAAACCACTGATTTGTAAATTGATAAGCCAGGAACACAACTCATTTGTAAGTCGGTGACCTGTAGAGTATTGCTGTTACAGTATTGAAGAAGTCAGTACAGTGAAACCTTGACTTATGAGTTTAATCCATTTCGTGACCTAGCTCATAACTCAATTTGCTTGTATATCAAATCAATTTTCCTCATTTAAATTAAACAAAATGCCATTAATCTGTTCCAGCGGAATTCCTGCTCTCAGGAGGCAGGACAAACTACTTCAATATGATGCTAATATCAACTCTGGCTTATTTATCTATCACAGTTCATCTAATATGACATAATAAACAGTGCATATAACATAGAAACATGATACATGTATATGCTCTAGAATGAATACAATATGTTACTAGTGGTGGTGGCCTTCATAAGGAAAACACTGAAACAATGTATTTATAAATAAGAAATATTGTATAAAAACATAAAA